AATCAGGAACAGTCTCACTTGAATTTAATATCGTTTGTGTGCTTGCGGGTGTGTTCGGTGTATATGGGTATAACCTGAGTGCAGCTGTACACGTGCGCGAATCTGTGTGCGTGAGTGGACGCACGCACGCACATGCAGACACACACACACGCACACACACACACATACAAACACGTAATCAGGAACAGTCTCACTTGAATTTAATATCGTTTGTGTGCTTGCGGGTGTGTTCGGTGTATATGGGTATAACCTGAGTGCAGCTGTACACGTGCGCGAATCTGTGTGCGTGAGTGGACGCACGCACGCACATGCAGACACACACACACGCACACACACACACATACAAACACGTAATCAGGAACAGTCTCACTTGAATTTAATATCGTTTGTGTGCTTGCGGGTGTGTTCGGTGTATATGGGTATAACCTGAGTGCAGCTGTGCACGTGCTCGATTCTTTGCGTGTGAGTGGACGCACGCACGCACATGCAGACACACACACACGCACACACACACACACATACAAACACGTAATCAGGAACAGTCTCACTTGAATTTAATATCGTTTGTGTGCTTGCGGGTGTGTTCGGTGTATATGGGTATAACCTGAGTGCAGCTGTACACGTGCGCGAATCTGTGTGCGTGAGTGGACGCACGCACGCACATGCAGACACACACACACGCACACACACACATACAAACACGTAATCAGGAACAGTCTCACTTGAATTTAATATCGTTTGTGTGCTTGCGGGTGTGTTCGGTGTATATGGGTATAACCTGCGAGCAGCTGTGCACGTGCTCGATTCTTTGCGTGTGAGCGGACGCACGCACGCACATGCAGACACACACACACGCACATACAAACACGTAATCAGGAACAGTCTCACTTGAATTTAATATCGTTTGTGTGCTTGCGGGTGTGTTCGGTGTATATGGGTATAACCTGAGAGCAGCTGTACACGTGCGCGAATCTGTGTGCGTGAGTGGACGAACGCACGCACATGCAGACACACACACACGCACACACACACACATACAAACACGTAATCAGGAACAGTCTCACTTGAATTTAATATCGTTTGTGTGCTTGCGGGTATGTTCGGTGTATATGGGTATAACCTGCGAGCAGCTGTGCACGTGCTCGATTCTTTGCGTGTGAGTGGACGCACGCACGCACATGCAGACAGACACACACGCACACACACACACACATACAAACACGTAATCAGGAACAGTCTCACTTGAATTTAATATCGTTTGTGTGCTTGCGGGTGTGTTCGGTGTATATGGGTATAACCTGAGTGCAGCTGTACACGTGCGCGAATCTGTGTGCGTGAGTGGACGCACGCACGCACATGCAGACACACACACACGCACACACACACACATACAAACACGTAATCAGGAACAGTCTCACTTGAATTTAATATCGTTTGTGTGCTTGCGGGTGTGTTCGGTGTATATGGGTATAACCTGCGAGCAGCTGTGCACGTGCTCGATTCTTTGCGTGTGAGTGGACGCACGCACGCACATGCAGACACACACACACGCACACACACACACACATACAAACACGTAATCAGGAACAGTCTCACTTGAATTTAATATCGTTTGTGTGCTTGCGGGTGTGTTCGGTGTATATGGGTATAACCTGAGTGCAGCTGTACACGTGCGCGAATCTGTGTGCGTGAGTGGACGCACGCACGCACATGCAGACACACACACACGAACACACACACACATACAAACACGTAATCAGGAACAATCTCACTTGAATTTAATATCGTTTGTGTGCTTGCGGGTGTGTTCGGTGTATATGGGTATAACCTGAGTGCAGCTGTACACGTGCGCGAATCTGTGTGCGTGAGTGGACGCACGCACGCACATGCAGACACACACACACGCACACACACACACACACATACAAACACGTAATCAGGAACAGTCTCACTTGAATTTAATATCGTTTGTGTGCTTGCGGGTGTGTTCGGTGTATATGGGTATAACCTGAGTGCAGCTGTACACGTGCTCGATCCTTTGCGTGTGAGTGGACGCACGCACGCACATGCAGACACACACACACGCACACACACGCACACATACAAACACGTAATCAGGAACAGTCTCACTTGAATTTAATATCGTTTGTGTGCTTGCGGGTGTGTTCGGTGTATATGGGTATAACCTGAGTGCAGCTGTGCACGTGCTCGATTCTTTGCGTGTGAGTGGACGCACGCACGCACATGCAGACACACACGCACGCACACACACACACATACAAACACGTAATCAGGAACAGTCTCACTTGAATTTAATATCGTTTGTGTGCTTGCGGGTGTGTTCGGTGTATATGGGTATAACCTGAGTGCAGCTGTACACGTGCGCGAATCTTTGCGTGTGAGTGGACGCACGCACGCACATGCAGACACACACACACGCACACACACACACACATACAAACACGTAATCAGGAACAGTCTCACTTGAATTTAATATCGTTTGTGTGCTTGCGGGTGTGTTCGGTGTATATGGGTATAACCTGAGTGCAGCTGTGCACGTGCTCGATTCTTTGCGTGTGAGTGGACGCACGCACGCACATGCAGACACACACACACGCACACACATACAAACACGTAATCAGAAACAGTCTCACTTGAATTTAATATCGTTTGGGTGCTTGCGGGTGTGTTCGGTGTATATGGGTATAACCTGAGTGCAGCTGTGCACGTGCTCGATTCTTTGCGTGTAAGTGGACGCACGCACGCACATGCAGACACACACACACGCACACACACACACACATACAAACACGTAATCAGGAACAGTCTCACTTGAATTTAATATCGTTTGTGTGCTTGCGGGTGTGTTCGGTGTATATGGGTATAACCTGCGAGCAGCTGTGCACGTGCTCGATTCTTTGCGTGTGAGTGGACGCACGCACGCACATGCAGACACACACACACACGCACACACACACACATACAAACACGTAATCAGGAACAGTCTCACTTGAATTTAATATCGTTTGTGTGCTTGCGGGTGTTTTCGGTGTATATGGGTATAACCTGAGTGCAGCTGTACACGTGCGCGAATCTGTGTGCGTGAGTGGACGCACGCACGCACATGCAGACACACACACACGCACACACACACACACATACAAACACGTAATCAGGAACAGTCTCACTTGAATTTAATATCGTTTGTGTGCTTGCGGGTGTGTTCGGTGTATATGGGTATAACCTGCGAGCAGCTGTGCACGTGCTCGATTCTTTGCGTGTGAGTGGACACACGCACGCACATGCAGACACACACACACGCACACACACACACACATACAAACACGTAATCAGGAACAGTCTCACTTGAATTTAATATCGTTTGTGTGCTTGCGGGTGTGTTCGGTGTATATGGGTATAACCTGAGTGCAGCTGTACACGTGCGCGAATCTGTGTGCGTGAGTGGACGCACGCACGCGCATGCAGACACACACACACGCACACACACACACATACAAACACGTAATCAGGAACAGTCTCACTTGAATTTAATATCGTTTGTGTGCTTGCGGGTGTGTTCGGTGTATATGGGTATAACCTGAGTGCAGCTGTACACGTGCGCGAATCTGTGTGCGTGAGTGGACGCACGCACGCACATGCAGACACACACACACACATACAAACACGTAATCAGGAACAGTCTCACTTGACTTTAATATCGTTTGTGTGCTTGCGGGTGTGTTCGGTGTATATGGGTATAACCTGAGTGCAGCTGTACACGTGCTCGATTCTTTGCGCGTGAGTGGACGCACGCACGCACATGCAGACACACACACACGCACACACACACACACATACAAACACGTAATCAGGAACAGTCTCACTTGAATTTAATATCGTTTGTGTGCATGCGTGTGTGTTCGGTGTATATGGGTATAACCTGAGTGCAGCTGTGCACGTGCTCGATTCTTTGCGTGTGAGTGGACGCACGCACGCACATGCAGACACACACACACGCACACACACACACACACATACAAACACGTAATCAGGAACAGTCTCACTTGAATTTAATATCGTTTGTGTGCTTGCGGGTGTGTTCGGTGTATATGGGTATAACCTGCGAGCAGCTGTGCACGTGCTCGATTCTTTGCGTGTGAGTGGACGCACGCACGCACATGCAGACACACACACACACGCACACACACACACATACAAACACGTAATCAGGAACAGTCTCATTTGAATTTAATATCGTTTGTGTGCTTGCGGGTGTGTTCGGTGTATATGGGTATAACCTGAGTGCAGCTGTACACGTGCGCGAATCTGTGTGCGTGAGTGGACGCACGCACGCACATGCAGACACACACACACACACATACAAACACGTAATCAGGAACAGTCTCACTTGAATTTAATATCGTTTGTGTGCTTGCGGGTGTGTTCGGTGTATATGGGTATAACCTGAGTGCAGCTGTACACGTGCGCGAATCTGTGTGCGTGAGTGGACGCACGCACGCACATGCAGACACACACACGCACACACACACACATACAAACACGTAATCAGGAACAGTCTCACTTGAATTTAATATCGTTTGTGTGCTTGCGGGTGTTTTCGGTGTATATGGGTATAACCTGAGTGCAGCTGTACACGTGCTCGAATCTGTGTGCGTGAGTGGACGCACGCACGCACATGCAGACACACACACACGCACACACACACACACATACAAACACGTAATCAGGAACAGTCTCACTTGAATTTAATATCGTTTGTGTGCATGCGTGTGTGTTTGGTGTATATGGGCATACCTGAGTGGCAGCTGTATACATGCACGAATGTGTGAGTGTGTGTGGATGCACGCACGCATGCACATGATGTCAGTACACGCGTAGGTCGGAAAGCCAGTTGGTGCCCAGTAATAAAATAAAAATTTCACCTTGGTTGCTCGGAAAAAACAGGACGCTCGAAGAGTCTATATGAGTTTGTGCCTCACCTTGGAATGTTCTCTCAGACCGACCCCTTTCCTGCACTTTTGCAGCAACCACCGCATAAGCTGCCTGCAAGCATTAGACAACAAAGACAAAATATAAATATTATATTGCCCATTGTTTTGTTTCGTCTTCCAATATTTAGGGTTGTGCTTCCCTAATTCAATAAGTCATATACATAGCCTTATAAAGGGGGTTCAGTCAACGACTAATACTAATTAAAAAAAATGAAAGCCGTTTACAACTCTCTGCAGCGCCGAAGTAGAGCGCAGCTCTTGAGGAGGATGAGAGAAGGGTACTGAGGTTCACGTGTTTTCTTTTTTTGGGGGGTGGGGTGGTCACGTGACCTTGGTGGGGTCATATGACTTGCTCCCCAAGGTCACGTGGGGGTCACGTGACCTCAGGGGGTAACGTGACCCCCCAGAAAAATTTTGCCGCTAGATTTAGCGGGGAAATTTTTTCCGCTAGATTTAGCGGGGGAATTTTTTCCGCTAGATTTAGCGGGGGAATTTTTCCGCTAAAATCCGCTAGATTTAGCGGTGAAAATTTTCCTCCCAATTTAGCGGGGAAATTTTTCCGCTAGATTTAGCGGGTAAATTGTTCTGCTAGATTTAGCGGGGAAATGTTTCCGCTAGATTTAGCGGGGAAATTTTTCCGCTAAATTTAGCGGGGAAATTTTTCCGCTAGATTTAGCGGGGAAATTCCTCTGCTATTTAACGAAAATTTTTCCGCTAGATTTAGCGGGGAAATTTTTTCCGCTAGATTTAGCGGGGGAATTTTTTCTGCTAGATTTAGCGGGGGAATTTTTCCCCTAAAATCCGCTAGATTTAGCGGTGAAAATTTTCCGCCCTAGCGGGTAAATTTTTCCGCTAGATTTAGCGGGTAAATTGTTCTGCTAGATTTTAGCGGGGAAATGTTTCCGCTAGATTTAGCGGGGAAATTTTTCCGCTAAATTTAGCGGGGAAATTTTTCCGCTAGATTTAGCGGGGAAATTCCTCTGCTATTTAACGAAAATTTTTCCGCTAGATTTAGCGGGGAACTTTTTTCCGCTAAAATCCGCTAGATTTAGCGGTGAAAATTTTCCGCCCAATTTAGCGGGGAAATGTTTCCGCTAGATTTAGCGGGTAAATTGTTCTGCTAGATTTAGCGGCTAAATTTTTCCGCTAGATTTAGCGGGGAAATTTTTCCGCTAAATTTAGCGGGTAAATTTTTCCGCTAGATTTAGCGGGGAAATTCCTCTTCTATTTAACGGAAATTTTTCCGCTAGATTTAGCGGGGAAATTTACCCATAATGCACCGCGCGGTTACGCCGACGGCGACGGCGACGGCGACGCCGACGCCGCTCAAGCCGGAAACGGGCGCCTAAGAGCTGCGCTCTAAAAAGGACACTTGAAACAAAGAACTAACTTCTTCGAAATAACGTTCTCAATCACGGCGGATGTCAGTGTTCATATACAAAAATGAAAGACGTGTAGCGGCAGCTATCAGCAGCGATCCAGCGCTTGAACGGCGCCAAGCTCACGGGACAGGCACGAGCTAAGGACACGAGGTGCCTGGACCACGAGCTGCACGGAATCTGGGATTCGGCGAAGGGCCCCTCGATGAGCTAGTCAGAAGGACAGTGTAAAATATTGTAAATAAATATGTAGAGTGTGATTTGCCGAGCCTCCACTCCTACATGCTTATTTACAATATTTTACACTGTCCTTCTGACTAGCTCATCGAGGGGCCCTTCGCCGAATCCCAGATTCCGTGCAGCTCGTGGTCCAGGCACCTCGTGTCCTTAGCTCGTGCCTGTCCCGTGAGCTTGGCGCCGTTCAAGCGCTGGATCGCTGCTGATAGCTGCCGCTACAGACGTTTACAACACCTTGTAACGCCGAATTGGAGCGCAGCTCTTGAGGAGGAGTGAACGGTTGTAAGGGGAGGGTATACCCCTCCTCCCTTTTTCCCCTTCTCCCCTCCTCCTTCGAGCTCCCCCTCCTCCTTCCTCCTCCCCCTCCTCCTCTCATCCCCTCCTCCTCCCGCTCCTCCTCCCCTCCCCCTCCTCCAACCCTCCCCCTCGCCCTTCTCTTCCCCGCGCGGTGCATTATGGGACATTTCCCATAATGCACCGCGCGGTTACGCCGACGGCGACGCCGCTCAAGCCGGAAACGGGCGCCTAAGAGCTGCGCTCTAAAAGTGATAATTAGCTACTTAGTTAAGTAGAATTCATAAGATAACATTTCAAATATTCGATATATCTGGCACATTCGAATTAGAAATTTGTTGCCTGTCGTGTAAACATACTATCGTAATTGTTATAAGTCAGACAACTATATTCTACACCACGATAGTCTCCAGCGAAGTTAGGCTGTTTAGAGTTCACCATATGGAAACCAAGATAAACAAAAAGAGCCAAAAACTGCGCGCCCGATGAGACATCGAAGGGTAGCGTGTCCTTTTTACCAGGCCGTGCGTCCCTAAAGGGGTATTCACACGAGGGAGAAATCCCGGGGATTTCTCCCCGGCACGCCCATTCCACGACGAAAACGTCAGGCTTTGCGATGTGCAAAAGCCTCGCGTTTTTATCTCGTGATGCGCGCGTGCCGGGGAGAAATCCCCGGGATTTCTCCCTCGTGTGAATACCCCTTTAAGGCCCGTTCACTCAGTATCGTCTGCTTAGTTTTGCGTTGTGTTGCGAGAGCTTACGTCCGCTTACGTCAGGGGTCACCGGGACATCGTTGCTTCGTATGAAGCGTGGAAACCAATTGAAGAAGCAGCTTGGCAAGCGACATACGAAGTATGGTTGTCTCGGTGATTCATAACACAGTGATGAGATTGATCTGAGTCATTTTAGAACACTTTTTGGGGCAACCAAAAGTCTATTTTGGAGCAGCTATTTTGGAGGAGCTACAAGTACTTTTGGAACGTATAGCACACGTTTAATTTTAATTCATAACAGTGCAAATATCATGTTAAGATTTATGTGTTTATGTCTACTTCATCTTTCTGCTACTGTGCAACCTTTTGATAGTATCAACACCATGGCAGATTTGATTCCCTAGCTTGCAGTTTCATCACGCGTAAAATCACAAGGCGTACAAACCAGTGTTGCGGAGTTGCCACTCCGGAGTTGGAATGATTCCGGAATCATTCCGCATTTTTGCGACCCCGGAATGGAATGGGAATGGAATGGCGACAACATTGAGGGGAATGGAATGGGAATGGAATTAGATGCCTTTGGCCCGGAATGGAATGGGAATGGAATGGGCCAGGTTCTTTATATCTTCTTTTTTTTTTTCTTTTTTTTTTTTAATGTTTAGCTATATCGGGTTAGTCAGGGAGCTGGTTGTTTAGAAATAAAATGAGCGGGAAACTACGAACCCGCGTAAGGCCCTAACAGACTTATACGCAAAAAGTGCAATACAAAAAACAAGCGTCAAAGCAAAGAACAGAGGGGAGAGGGGGGGGGGGGGGCGGCGGTGGCACCTTTCACTAGTGAAGTTCAGCACATATCCAAATGCGGCTGCGCCTGTAATATTCCACAGCTCAAGGGCACGTCATCAGCCGACGTGAACGTGACCCGCTGCTCTTGTGATCCGATACCCAAGAAAGAGGCCAGACGTGGCCTCGCTGCGCGGACCCAGACTTCGTACACCTGTGACTTGTCTCGAGCGCGCTGTTTCTCGGAGAGCTTGCACCTGTGCCGGCCATCTCAGGTCGCAATCCACGAGGCCTCTGTTTGAATGATGCTAGCCGAAACTTGAAGACTGACATTCATGCGTCAGTGGCGGAGAATCGGCAGGAAGGACCGTCACAACAGGGATGCCACCGTATCGATTTTTCAACCGCAACAGAAGATAAGACATGTGCTTCAGGATGCTTCAGGTGGTCCACTTTTCTCGAAAATTTCAAATGCAACTACTTGCATCGTCTTCAAAGAGGTCACGTATGACGAAAGTACGCATTGTCCTTCCATACAGCAGCGTGGGTAAAGTTTCATGTTCAAGGCAGCACCAGCAGATTCAAGAATACTAGTTCATCCCACCGTGACGTCATGTGATCAGTGCTGACAGGGGCTCCCTTATTGGACAGGGAAGTGGCGATGTTTTAATGGATTTTATTTAGAGGTCGAAGTCTTTTCGCATCACTGGTCATTCGGACAGGATGCTAGGGAAGGGACTATGGTCAATCCTTGATGGAACGTTTTTTAACCACTACCTTCAAGGCGAAGTGCCAAGCCCGCGGAAAAGTAAAAAACTTCCACTTCAAACTTAAAGCCTCATCTCAGTTGGCGTCTCAAAGAAATTTGAAAAATGTATTGCATTATCATTTATATTTCTGCCCTCCCTAAAATGTATTCTTGTATTTGTATTTCCAAAGACATTTTGCCTATTTTTAAAATGTATTTCCAAGACTTATCACGATACATTTTACAGATATATTTGAGACTTGAGTATAAGTAGCGTTTCGCGTTTTCGGTTTCTATTTTTTCAAAATTCGGCGTACTTTTTTCGGTGTTTATTTTAAAATTCAATTTTCGGTTTTTTTCGGCGTATATTTATGCCCACAAAAGTTTATCGACTTTTTTCGGTGAATATAAAATAAACACCAACGGACACCGGATTAGATAATCCTTGTAGCTCTGATATTTGTGATCACTGAAAGAATAACGGCACAGATACATCAAAAAAGAAAGGGACACTTTATTTGGAAAATGTCTGCAACTGTAAAAAAAAAACACAGAAGTACAAACAAGTCAGATATGAAGCTTATGCCCAAAATCGTGGAACTTCACCCTCTGTACATCAGGATTACGTAATCTTGTTATAGTACACACACACTTGTACTTCCCCAGGTTCTCCTAGTTGATGCGCACTCTTTCTTTCCTGCTAATATGACCCCGAGCTTCGAGAATGCCCAACGCAAACACTGGACACTGGCAGGCTGAAGGAGATAAAGCGCTGCCTGAGCCAAAATCAGCCAATCAACCAATTGTGACCACCAAAAGAGACACAGTGCGACGTTTTGAAGTACAACAAGACATGCAGAGCTTGCATCAAGTCAGTCTTCCTTACAACGAGTTTGAAAACACGCTCGTACATAGCGAAGTCATGGGGTATTTCGGACTTCACGTTCCGATTGATGATGGGCACATCAAACCAAAACGTCGTGATGGCACCCTTGCATCCCATACATTCGGAAACGTTTCGATAGACACTAGGGAATTGTAGTAGACCGTTTTTCTCCCCCGCTACTGTATCCCCGAAGAAAACGCCGCAGCTGCGCATGCGCGTCGCCAGCCTTCTCTGCATTGTTCAAGGTCTTATGGCGGATTACGGAGCGCTATCCGGGTGCTTAGCGCGCTGCGGAAACGGTCTACTACAATTCCCTACTGTCTCCACTTTTTCGCCACGGCTCTGCGGTACGACCGGAAGGTCAAAGTGACCTTTTCCGGTTAAAACTGAATTTTGTCACATGGATTCGACGGACTTTTATCGGTTTTTATCGGTTTAGATCGAAAATGACGAACCTAAAAACTGACCTTTTTCGGTTAAAACCGAATTTCCGCAATTGGATTCGGCGTACTTTTATCGGTTTTTATCGGTTTAAACCGAAAACTCCGAACCCTAAGTATAAGTATCTTAGCAACTATTTTCATCTATCCCAGTATTTGTATTTCCAAATACATTTTTGAATATCTCTGTCCAACCCGGTAACGTAATGCAGCTGTCAAGTGACACTTTTTAACGTTTAGGAATTAGAGGAATGGAATGGAGCGACTCAGCCATTCCAGGACTGGGAATGGGCCCAGTGTCCCCATTCCTAGGAGTTGAAAGGAATGGAATTATCAAAAACTCTAATTCCCCGGAATGGAATTGGAATGGAATGGGGGTGCCCATTCCGCGACACTGGTACAAACTGCTCTGCTTGGCTATTTTAGGTACAAAGTGAAAAGTAAACTGATAGTATATTCTACTGAAATAGCGTTATGATATTATAATTTTGAGAACCCAAATTTATGTCATTTTTAAGCTTGAGAAGTTTTAATAAAACTGCGGTTTTTAGTTTAGATAGGAAACAAGGCTTTTGTCATTTGACTACGAACATCAATTAAATTGTATAAGCAGAGCTTCATGATAACATAAATCGACATGCGAACAATAAATATTCTTTTTTTTTTCTAATAAATCCCGCCGAATTCGGTCAGCGTATTCCCATGCTTGCATTTACTGCTACAGCTAACTTAGTTCTAAAAAAACTGTATTCACTGTGTCATCGAACGAATGGAACGCGTATGAAGGTAATACAGTGAAACCCGTTTAAAACGAACTTACGTACAGCTAATTATTGTCAATATGGAACTCACCAAAAATTTAAATAAAAATGCATGTAAAAAGTACTCTGTATAACGAACAACATATTGGCTATATTGAACTTTTTCCCTCCGCGAAGGCTTCCAAAAACGCGCAAACATTCGTCTCTTGCCTGTCCCTTTCCACCAAAAAAAAAAAAAAGTAGGAAAGAAAGGAAATTACAAAACCTCAAGTTGCGAACAACGTTGAGCGAAGAGAAGCAATTCAGAAGGGGAGAAAGCTAAAAAAATCATTCTGCACGCTCGCACAGAAACAAAACACTTTTCACCCCAAAACCGTTGCCCACAACGAGAAGCGATTCAGAAAGGGAGATAAGCAAAAAAAAAATTTTTTCACTCATGCAAAAAAAAAAAAATCAGCGCGTTGTTACAAGGCGGAAGCGAAGCGATGAAAAAGAAAGAGAAGCTCTCGCCTTACAACGAACGCATCGTGGAAGTTCGTTATAAATAATTTTTGCTATATCGAATTACTTGCTATATCGAACTGATCGTAGCGTTTCCTTTTGTTTGTTTTAAACGGGTTTAGTAGAAAATAAACAAAAGTTCAAAAAAATAATAATAAACGTAGCAGTCCATAAAAGTTTTTTCGCAATACTTGTTAGTTAAGAAAATTTATTTGAATCTTCTTTCGAGCTGTGACTTGATTGCAGTAGGATTTGCTTTTCTAGTTTCGGTTTCTTTCTTTTGCTTTCTGATTGTGTCGAAAGGGGACGTAAATACGAGCTGGCGAACAAAGTGTAAGGTATAAATCACGCTCAACGCTCTGATTTACTCAAAATTATTTTCTTTTCTCCTGTTCAGTTTTGTAGGAATCTTCGGGCTTAGTAATTTTTTGTATATTTATTTACGTACAAAAGGAATGCACATAGAAAGCCTCTAACGTTGAACTACTAAGTAAAACATATTTTCTGGGTTATTTTCGCGAATAAGGTTTGACCTACATCAGGATAGTAAAAACTGGTTTGATTTAAAGGTTTGATTTAAATCATACTGCTTTTTTTTATTCTCCCACCTGTCAAAAACAGTGTGTAACGTCCAGATTCACAGGATTGTTTTCTCCTTAGCACGGGGGTGCGCTGCAGCGAAGCAATTATGCAAAATTGCGACGCCTACTACGCCGTTGTTGTTTCACTGCAGTACTCGCTACGCGGAGACAAATGCAGTCAACGATGACAGCTATGCAACCAAAACAGACAACGAGCTCGAGAAATATTGTGAAACTTCCGAGTACTGTCAATGTTCAGATAGAGATATTAAATCGAATATAATATAACTTAAGGCGATAATCGAAAGTTTTGTAAATTCGCGTGAGTTTACCGTAACGATCTGGCCATATAGTGGGGCCTGATTTATTATATTTTTAGTATCAACAAAGCTTTAAAAAAAAGTCTTGGCGTAATCTGGACGTAAATTCGCCACACTTTCTCAAAATATAGAATTTAGCAGGGTAAGCGCTTTGGCGCATTCTGGCGTAAATGGCGCAGCAATCACATCACTGCACGGTAACATAACGTAATAAAACGTAAGCAAGCACCCCTGTGTGAATGGACCATTAGGACTTTGTATGCCGCGGCGCTGTCAGTATTGTTAAGATATTAAAGTTAGCTGGCCCCTAATCCCGACCGCTAGCACATACTGGTAAAGTCTACGCAGTTTATATTTGCTGCGTGAAAAAGCAAAGATCGCGCACGGTCGCTATACCGTTTTACTGGTCCGAACTTGACGTGCAGACCATCGATGGCGTCGTCAACAGACAGGTCCTTCTTCTTGTAGTCTCCCACAGCACCAACCATAGCCTGCAATACAATCCGACGTTATCCGAAGGAATACAAGATTCTTGAGGCTGATCAATACATCGCTAGCTTTAAAGGGATACTCAACCAAGGAATTTAGTGTCCATAATAAGTGGCGCACGTTCTTTCCACGAGCCAGCAGCCGCCGGAGTATTGAAATGTATGGGCTTCGGGCCAAAGGAGAATAAAGACATGTTTTTCATCTACACAGTGGTGTCTGGTGTAAAAGGTAAGCGATTAACTGGTCTAACAAGCACGTAGCTTACACTTGTAGAGATGAAAAGCCTGCCTTTATTCTCCTTTGGCCCGAAGCCCATGCATTTCACTGTCCTCTTAAGCGCGGATGGATGTCTTTGATGTCATTTTCGTTGCGTGTGCTCGCGCACACCGGCGGCTGCTGGCTCGTGGAAAGAACGTGCGTCACTTATTATGGGCACTAAATTCTTTGGTTCAGTATCCCTTTAAGGAGTCACAGACTCCCCACAAACAATTCGTAACCTTTTCTTTATTTTTTTGGAAGCGAGAGAACCAACTTTGCGAAACCTGAATCATCTTTGCTTGTGCCATGTCGTCGCCAGAGCAAGTCCTTCTGCTTCTCGCGCAAGGGGTTACAAAGACCTTACGGCGCTGAGCTCCGATGAAGGGATTGCTCCTGGCAAGCTCAGGCGGGCTGCGGAGGGTCAACAAAGGCTGTGGCCGCTGCTAGTCGTATAGCAATGGCTGCCTTGGTTTTTCTGACACTGTCGGAAATTCATGGAATCTTTGCGAGCAAACAAACATCGACCCTCAAGAAAGGAGTGAGGAAGTCTCCCGAATGATGAGCTGTCTTTACCGACTATTACAAACGCTACAAAAAAAAACAAAAAAACTCGTAGCTAGGATGTTGTTTACTCATTGAGTTCCATCTACTGAGCTGGACCTTGAGTAGATGGTGTTCTCTTTAGATAAACAACAATCTCGCTCAATTTTCTCACCTCCTCTCTCAAGCGCAAAGAGAGACGTTTTGATCAACTTCTTGGCCACATACACTGTCACGAACTACTGATGGCCTGTTCCGTATAATGCTGTCGTGGAATCCAAGGAAGCGTACCTGGAGATTCTTGACCACGGGACTTGGGTCCATGCTCCATGTCTTGGAGTAGACGTCGAACTGCATAACATAAGCCATTGCCGAATGAAACCCTGCGGCTTTCCTCCATTCTGATAAGTAAGGTTCCGTGCTTTCGAATAAATCCAAACAACTCCAAAAAACGCTGGCCGAAAAAAAAATTCGTCAATTCGATTTTATTTGATAAACTCTTAATTTCCGCGTCACAATGTAAACGAAAAAAAGACGGTGTTTAACAATTAAGTTTGGTCAGAGCACAGGTTCAGTGATCCTGAGGAAGTGTTCCTTTATAGTTTCGTTTCATATCTTGGATCATTGACAGAAAGGTTTTTACCGTATATCTTGTCAAGGTTCGCACAGGACATTTATTTCATTGTATACCTTCTGGGTCACAACAAAAGTTAGCTTTCCAGTTTCCACTTTTGACCACACAGTTCGTGCTTTTTAGGGGAAGGAGGAATTACGATTTTGTAACAGTGAAAACTAGGAACCTTAAAGGTTTCATAAAAGGGGAAGGGGCGCAGTTTAACGTATATATTGTCACGGGTGGTGACCAATAAACAATAAATAAACAGAAAGAAATAAACGTTTAATGTGGCGAACTTGTGCCAAAAATAAAAGGGTACAAAAGATAATAACGGAGCGTCGCGGGCGTCGAAGTCGGCGTAGCAGCAGAGTCGAACGCTGGGCGAAAAACTGACTCCGCTCGCCTTGCGGAATCCCTTATGTACCCTCGTGGGTTTGTGGATCGTTCGGCGTAGAAGGTTCGGCGCGTGGAAACATTCTAACCTCGAATCAGCAAGACGGTTCTCGAATTCACCAGAACCTTACATTACAGTGTCAACAAAAATGCGCCTCCGCGGCCAGGAATCGAACCCTGGCTTTCAGCGTGGGAAGCAAGCGCGATAACCGTTAGGCCACGCGCGCACTGCCAGCTTGGCCAGCTGCGCGCGCGGCAATATTACTTCGTCTACCACCGCTCTCCAGAGAGCCGCGGTGTGAGGGGATGAGGTAGGGTTAAAACAAGCTTCCCAACGACTACCTCCGGGAGTTTGGTGATTTTAAAGTATTAACATTTATCAAAGCAACGGTTGTTGGCAATTTTTTTTTGTCACGAGACAGATGATTTGGTACCGATAGCCGCACCACCCCAAAATCGACATGAAAATGCCAGCAATGGCCTTCAAGGTTTTAATAAATGATGAAATGATGATGAAAAAAATATGCAAGAGCGTTCTTTTTAATTAAAGGAGTCATGAAACGCTTTTTCAACTTTTTTCTGTTTAGCTTTCCTCCTCAACTCATAAATCGCGCATTGTACCAAGCAGTTCAAGAAGTCGGAAAGGGGGGAGTCCCCTCTTGCTCGGAATCTGGCTTGTGTAGCCGGACACAGCCATTGTCCCCCTAGAAGATCAGCCCGTCGCTCAAAATTCCGACTAGTTGCTTTCCCCACCCCGTTCACCCAGAAGCTGACAGTGCTGTGGAAGCTACGTGCTCGTTGGGCCAGCCACACATTTTCCACGTGATCATGCTCTCTCGCGCATACCGACCCGCAGAGAATGAGGTCAGGTGATGAAAGGGAGACGACTGATTGGTCCGGCAAGCGCGTAGCTTCCACCGCAATGTCAGCTTAGGGGTAAAGGGATTAAGTGAGGTCCCGTGTCGTGTGACTTGCGCTTGGGCCCTGGTGACGCGCTGCGGGGGCCCGGTTATGGTGGCTAGTAGCCCGGTGACGCGCTGCGGGGTCCGCGGATGTATCACAGTGAAAAGGCGGAGAGTTTACGAAGGGAAGGAGGTACGAAATAGTCCGCTATGTTTTGCAAATTTTCGTAGCGAAAGTCAGGCTTCTTACTTTCTACTTTTGTTCTTTTGGCCCACTGAACGATGTGCTATTAGTAAAATCCCAATATAAATTGATTTACTCCAGCCCAAAATTCGTTTCATGGGTCCTTTAAGCAGTGAGCACACGTTTATACTCGGATTCCTTTTATTTTGTTTTTAATTAGAAAAATAAAAGAAATCACAACAAAATAAACTTTGAACTTCAAAGCAGTTGTATTATATACAAAACTAAATTTAAGATAACCTCCGAATTATCGGCAAAAAATAAATTACGAAAACAATCCTTCCAAATTTGACAAAAAAGAAAAAAAAAGAACTCCGAAAAACAACCTCCGAATTTGACAATAAAATAAACTCCGAAAACACGGTACCCTACCGATATGTGAACAAGGAAACAAAATCAGCATAATAAACAGCCATGAACAATAACATGCGCACCTCGTTGATGCATCTGTGTCCATGGCGTCCCAAGAATTCTCGGAAGAGGCTCCCGATGACGGTGGTGTCATTTCGCAACCATTCCAGGGCATCCTGTGGGCATTAAATTCAACTAAAGCTATTTTTTTTAAATTTATTACCAACTTTTTTTTTTATATTCCACTTTAAATAAAAAAAAATTATACGTTTCTAGAAACTGAAATATTATTTTATCGAAACGATTTGTTAATGAAGTTTCACTTACTTCAGCGTTCATTTCCTTGAACTTGGCTTGCTCGGGGCTTTTCGATATTTCGACCGCCATTTTCTTTGTTCAAATGAAACAAGAAATGTGGGAATGAATACGTGGAAAATAGATTTATTTACTTCACTCAGTGTAAAGAATTTCGACAAGAAAACGTTTTGTACTGGTCGTGAAACTTCTCCTTTTTCCATAGCGCAAAGAGTGTAACCGTCCATGACAAAATGCCTCATGGGGGGAGGGGGAGAGGAGGCCCCAGCAAAATAAAAGATTTCGGGGGGGGGGGGGGGGGGCATGCGTCCCCCCCCCCCCCTCCCCCGCCCCCTGGCTATGTGCCTACTAGGGAGACAGGGTTGTCTCTATTTAGACAGGTAAGAAGAGTGCCGAAATGTTTCAGGTTTTCGAACTGCGAACTCTTTCTCAGGCTTAGCTCACCTGCAGAGCACTGGGCACTTCTGCGCTGACGACATCTTCGCAGGTGGAAACCAAGTTGCCGAAGTCCGAGATGACAACGTCCGACCAGTCTGCGAAAGTGGTAATGTACAATGTGGAACCGTCTACACGTCGCTTGATTTTCAATGGAATGTTAACGGAACGCCCGATTAGATCACGAGAAATATCTGTGAGGTGGTTTCTGTGTGTCTCGATGACATGAAGCACAAAACCTGCCAGTAGAATTTTAGCTATCGTCAGTCTGCAGAATAAGTATGTCTGTGATAATCAGCTGCTTATGACGTTCGAATAAACAAAATACGCCATCAAAAGCCCCTGCATGTGTACTACCTCGGAGTGCACCCGGTAGACCAATCAATGGTTTTCATTTGATTTGTTCAATCAGAAAGAGGGGCAACGTGTGTTGAGTTCCACTCTTTGAGCAAATTTCATGGGGTGCTTCCACCCTCAATGCCTCCATCAAGGTCTTGATATACATTCATTCGCTTGAGCTCCACCTTGCGCGACGCAAGGTAGAGCTCAGGTGAACAATGGGGATCAATATCTCGATGGCACAAACACCCACAACTTGCAGTTGTAATAAATAAGTGACTGTGAAGTCACAGAAACCATGATAGCATCCAAAATGAGCGTTTAGGGACATTTCCCTTCTTTTTAAAACAATACGAATGTAAAAATAATATGATCTCTAAAAAGAATAATGAATTTTTATTCCTACTGTTTTTGTGGGAAAACTAAAAACTTGTCGTTCTTAACAGGAGTAAGATATGGATATAAAGAAGTCACCTGGCGCGTGCACAAAATGAGGGTCATTAAAATATATAGTTAAAATAAGCTTTAGCCGAAATATACGGAGTGCGGATACACGCAAGAATTCCCTAGAGCATGATGTGTGGACACATGCATTCAAATGGCCTCGTTTTAATTAAGGCGAAAGCCTTATATGTCTCATCACTAAGTCGACCTTCAAAGTCTTTTAACGAAGATACGTCGTATCTTCGGCGATACGAAAGGAACCAAAACGTTTACGTTGCCACTCAGTGGATGACTAAGCGAATTAAGTTGGTGACTCAGCACATTGAGAAGAATGACTCAGCACATTGAGAAGGATGATTCAGCAAATTAAGGATGACTCAGCAGATTAAGAGGGATGACTCAGCGAGTAAATCGTGTGTCTGTCTTTAATGCATCCGCGCTTGGACTTTCGACTTCAAGTCATCTTAGGGATAACATTAGAGACCCTATGAATTTTATCGTGGCAGTAAGTGGACATGATTTTGATGCAAAAATATAAGCCAGCCGCTCCGTGCACCCACCTCCGTGCTGATGTGCCAGCAAAGTGACGGCCACACTGTTCGACATGATTGAGTACATGTTGCATGCGCCGTGTACCTTGGCAGTCTGCAACATAAAGCAAAGGTATACCAATATTACAACCTCCCTAGTTCTCGCTCTTTAAAAAAAAATGATTGTACATCAAATACTTTGGACGGATTGACAGAGTTAAAATGAATGCTGAAAAGCAAATAAATTACCTTTGTTTTATACACAATTTTTTTATTCTGTACATTTTTTTAAAGAAAAGCTGCGAGGGCTATGCGGTCAGTGCAGGTGAGTTATACGACATTAAATATAATCATCATCATCATCAGCATCATACTAGATTGGATTACGAACTAAAACTTGTTGATTAACTTATTAGTTAGATGAGTCAGGTTGCAATTGCAGTGTTGACGGCAATGACTATTAAGCCGGTGTCACGTTGCTTATACATCTTACAAAAGACAGTCTGCCAGATATTAGTCACCGCGATATTCGGGCTCCAAATGCTGCGTTCCTAGCTTCTCCTTGAATTCGTTGCCAGGCGGCATTCGAAGCATAGATCTCGTTGTGACTTGCGCTTGAATATGTTTACAGACTGTCTTTCGTATGATGCATAAGGAGTGTGACCCTGGCTTTAGAGACTGAACTAATCTAGAGAGTTTAAGACAGGCCATAGCTGTATATAGGGACAGTTTGGCCAATGGGAGGAGCGGGCAGAGTCAGGGCGTGCACCAGACGCAGAAAGAGGGCTTGACATGCTCCCTTGGCCAACCAGAAGCCGAAAGGCTCGAGGTACACCTCAGCACTTCTTATGAGTTGTGAATGCAAAAGCATGCTTGTCATTCTTCCGCTCCCTTATTTCGTCAGCGGCGTATTCGCGTCGACGGCAGAGCGCGCGCTCTTCTCATCGCTCTGATTTTGGACGCTTCGTGTTACCGGCACGCTGATGGCGCAGACACGCATCGCCATGGTGTGGCGGTCGTTGAAACTGACGCGCAGCGGCCAATGGGAGCCTTGGTAACTATGACGCGCTCCATCCAATCGGACCGAAGCCGAAATCCATCAGCTTCACTCTGCTCCTTTGGGATCGGGGAAACTAGGTTCCGCTTGGCTAGGCTTTTCGCGTGGTTTGAAAGCTGGGAGCCGGCTTTACTTTGAGCAGGCACGTTGCCAGGGAGGGGGGGGGGGGGGGGGGGGAAGGGCCGAAATCTTCCATTTTGCTGGGGCCTCCTCTCCCCCCTCCCTCTCATACAGCATTTTGTCATGGGCGGCCCCCCTCCACCCCCCCCCCCCCCCCCTAAACAAAATCCTGGCTGCGTGCCTGACTTGGAGAAGGGAGTTAAGGTGCCGCTTGGCGCGGCTTTAAAGCTGATGACGTCGGCTCGCCCCATGGGACAGAATGCTTTCGCATTAAAATAATCCCCGACCGGTGGTAGCGAGAAACGGTTTTAATAAGCGGTAAGAGTTAAATATAGTAACTCTTCATGGTTGTAAATATGCTGCACGTGATGTTTCGATTATGATCATGCAAAAAGATATAAGAATCGAATATGCCACTCAGACTCTGTTTTGCTCGGACGGAGACTCACCACTTAGACGGCAGATTCCCGGCACTCAAGGTCTGGCGTGCGAATTACGTCGATCGTTCTGCTAGATCTTTATTTTGCATGACCGTGATCAAAAAATCACGTCCACCATATTTTCAGTCACCGAGAGTTACTCCGACGAACCTATTAATTTTGTTTCTGGCGACCACCGCCAGGGTATTATTCACGGCTTCTGGCTGGCCGCATTCGAATTTGTGGAGACGCCCTGGAACACGCCCAGCCCGCTTTCGACCAATGGGGCCTCCTCATTCGCCTCCTATACTTCCCTATGTATGGCAAAACTCTCTCTATATACAGCTTTGAGACAGGCAAGGCTCTGAGATATTTATCGAATATATTTCCGGTTTTCGTCACCTGATTCCGAAACTCAATGCAGAAAAAGTGCCGCGAGTTTTCTTCCACAATTAAGCGCGGAATACTGACGAATTCGTTTTGAACATCTCGTCACTATCTCAGCAAACTGTCGTTGGCGAGTCTGCCAAGGATGCGGTTCCGAGATAGTGACGACGTGTCTGAAGCGACTACGTCAGCATTAGAAGCGTTACAAGAGGTAGGAAAAGCTCTTTCTCCATCCGGATTCGAAATAGGATCACAAGGGCACGAGCACTGGCCGATTCATATTTCAAAACCTTTTGTCTTTTTACAAACTGTTTAAATTGATTTAGCATCTAATAAGAACTGCCTTTACAACTGCAGTTGCACCATGACTCAACTAACCATTATTTAAAAAAAGTTAATTACATGTTTTTGTGAATTATCAAACTGATCGTGACGATAGTACCCGATCTATAGCCGGCCTGGCCGTATGCTCGTTTCCACGACCACATTAGTGTAGCTTTCACTGCTTTTTTTTTTTTAATTTGTAAATATAAAGAAACATCTTGTTTTAACACAATTAATCATGCAGATTAGGTCGGGAGACTTTATCCGCATCGTGTTTTGAGCTGCGCTGGGTTAGCGTCACAGAGACACAGTGTCACGTGACAGTGTCAGGTGATACCACAAAGTAACGTCAAGTCACTTGACATCATCAAATGTGTCATGCTACGTGGTTGGTGTCACCTGAAGTTATCACGTGAGAGTGTTAGGTCATCATCAAATAAAGGGGCCATGAAAATAATTTTCGGTCGGGATAAATGAATTTAGATTGAGGATTTATTAATAGCATATCGTTTATTGGGCCAAAAGAAAGAAGGTAGAAAGTCAAGAGCCTGATTTTCGATACTAAAATTTGAAATCATAGCGGTCTTTTCGTACCTCCTTCCCTTCCAAAGCTCTCTGCATCTCAGAAAGGTTTGGATTTGGGCTAGTTGGTTGAACATGTTTAGGAGTTAAAACCGCTAAAAACGACGGACGAGTAGGAGAGACACACACCACAGAGCGCAATGTCCGGCAAGCGCTCTGTGGTGTGTGTCTCTCCTACTCGTCCGTCGCTTTTAGCGCTTTTAATCTCTGCATTTCACTGTGATACATCCGCGGTACCCAGAGCACCGTCACCCGGCCCCAACGCACCTCACATGACACTCGACCGCACTATAATCCCTGCACCCCTAAGCTGACAGTGCGGTGGGAGCTACGCGCTTGCCGGACAAATAAGCCGCCTCCCTTCCGTCACCTGACTCCATTCTCTACGCGTGGGTATGCGCAGGGGAGCGTAATCACGGGGCAAAAGATAGAAGTGTGGCTGGCCCAACGAGCACGTAGCTACACTTCCATCTCCACAATGAATATACCATGAGGTTGGATATGCCTCCAGACATCAATGTAACATATTGATACCCGGAACTTAATTAACAACTCTTTAACTCGGACACCTCGCTACACCTAAAGAAAACGTCTACCCGGCATCACTTTATTAATGTACCAATATATAGCTCACACCATAGAGAGGCAATGGGATGTCCATAAACTCACCAGGTCCATAGAACGGAAATAGGAAGGAATGAAAAACTTTTTCTTTCGCGAAGATCTCTATAGCGTTGTTGTGTCCATTCTGTGGCAAACCAGTGGTACATAGACGGTCTAAGAACTGTCTACAGGAATCCATAGGATGGACAAAGGGGTAATAGAACGGCAAAAGTATGGACATAGGACGTCCATACATATTTTTGTAGGGGTGTAGCTTAGGGGTGAGCGAGGTGGGGAAAGCAACATTTGTCGAAATTTTGAGCGACGGGCGAATCTGCTAGGGAGTGAATGACGATGTTCGGGTACACGAACAAGGGTCCCAGCAAGAAAGGAGTTCCTTCTTTCTCTCTTCTTGAATTGTTTGGTATGCTGCGCGATTCGTGAGTCGAGGAGGAAACCCAAGAAGGAAAAAGCTGGGAAATCGTTTCATGGCCCCTTTAAATCACTTGCATCATTAGCTTTGTGAAGCTAACGTGTCACGTGACAGAAACTACGGGATTTTATTATGTAACATTACGGTTTCACACCATGATGTCACGTGAGGACCATCACGCCGATGACATCACGTGAGCACTGTCGGTAAAATTTGGCGGGCATGCGACGCTTTTCTCCTGATAGTTTTTTTCCTTACGATTTTTTGTGGGGCCACGCCACGTTTTCTTTGGGGTTCCAACTTTTCAAATAATAATATATGCCGATTCAGTACGTCGATTACAGTCGTAAACAAACTCCAAAAAAACTGTTTACTGATACAGGAACGCTAGTGTCCAACAAATTCCAGAGACGGCCACAAGGCGCTCGCCTTTCCTTACCAGAGACAGGTTCATGAAGGCTTTGGTTATCTCGTCAAAGATCTGCCGCGTGTCGGCCATGTCCGCCACGGGCAGCTTCCAGCTGTAAAACTTTTCGTAGGCTTCACGCACCATCTCTTCGCTCTTCCACAGGTCCTGCGATGCGTGGTCGCGTCGAGAGAACAACGCGAGCAAGTCGGTCATCCACCTAGAGGTCAGTGTAACTACTGTCTTCGCAGATGGACACTGTACCGTTTTACACCCTTAAGGGTGTAAAAAGGGTGTTTTGTATACTTACACTCGGGGCTATAACCTTTCAGCACCCTTACTTCGAGCCATACACTTTGTTTTGTAAGCGTAGGGTGCTGTTGTATACAACTCCGGGCTCCCTTCATTTTTGAAGGGTGTCAAAAAGGTGTGGAAAGAGTGCTGCTGAAGAGAGGAGTGGAGGCGATCTTACACCCGGTTCAAATAGCTTTAGATGAGGTTGTTTCAGCGGCTATATCGAATAGTTATTGCAGACACCAGTGCTTTTTACTTGGAGGTACATTCCTTGAACTTCGAGATACTTAACCTTTATGTAAAATGTTGAGTATATATCGTTCAATCGTGAAGTGCAAAAGGCGGTGGAGCAGACAATAGGGTCGTGATTCCGGCCTTGTGCGTGGCTCACTGCGTCAGTATTAATGCTTTCTGAACATGTGTAACTGATGTGGGGCGTGCTGCTTGTGATCTTGCTGTTCGTATATAATATATCTAGGATACCGCTAAAATCGCCAGCACCCTATGTTCAGGGTGCTCGCCGTCCTCCAAATGCTGTTTCTTTAACACGTTCAGGAAGAGGGTGCTGTTTTAAAACCCTTAGGGTGCAACACTGGGACAAGCTGTAGGCCTCTGTAAGCGCGCTTATAGGTGGGCCATTCCAAGAGAACGGAATGCTCGCCTACCTGTAGAAACAGAGTACACATTTAAACCTTCCTTTGCTCTCGTCAGATGGTGCCACGGAAAAACGCCAACTGTTAAAAAACCTAAAAGGGTCTTGAGGAGGTTTCTGAAATCGCCTAAATATGGCGATAACTCACTCTGTGGGCTTTGAGCATCCTAGATATTCCTAGATCACGACTATGCGTGGCCAGTTCCCCATTGAAAAAGCAACAAAAAGATCGCAACAAACCGAGGTCATATCAGGCGATGAGAGGAGCATGTTCATGCAGCCAGGACGACATGTGACCAATGAAAACGTGACCTTTTGTAGAGATTGCAAACGCTGATGTTGCAAAATGTGTGTGCTTTTGTAGATAAGAGCAAATAAGAGTATATTTTAAGAAATGCCGGCGCGTCTACTTACCCGTAAAACCCACAAAGAGCCGATCTCTGCGATCTACGAAATCGGCTCATCGAATGATGAGGCGGAGCATCCGCTTAGACCTAAAAATGAAGTGTGCGCTGTGACATTACGCAATGCAAAGCGTGATGCTAGCATTGCGTAATGCCTCAGCGCAGATCTAATTTTGAGGTCTAAACAAATCTTCCGCCTCATCATTCGCTGAGCTGATTTCGTAGATTGCAGAGATTGGCTGTTCGAGTGTTTTGTGGGTAAGTAGGCGCGCAGGCATTTCTTATCTAGAGTGCACGAGACAAATGTTAATTTGTCGCGGGGAGGGAACATAATACTGCAATAATCGTCTAAAGAACAGCGTACTGTTCTTTTTTCTTGTCGTCTTCCAAGGGAGTGATGTGTCTGGTCGTCTGTCTGCTCTAGGGTGCGCGCTCAATTGGATGAATTTTCAGTTCTCGAGAGGCGTCAGGTTAGCGAGAGCCATGGCGCGATGAATCGATGGCTGCGATGGCACATGATTGACTGTGTGCTACGAAAGTATACTACTAACTAAAAAAAACTCGCCGAAGCTCGGGTGTCCGGGGTGTCCGGGCGACGAGCCGCACGCATTCGAGATGTCACTGCGCGGGTCCACCGGTCGGAGACGCGAGGCTTCTTCGCTTGCTATTGACTGACAGTGCTCCTGGTTTCGGAACATGCTCCACCCATCATCTAAGTTTACCTCGATGTGTTGCGATCTTCGATCACTTTTTTAATAGAGAACTCGGCCGCGTAGCGTCATTATTTATGGATATCTAGAATGCTTAGAACCAGCAGAGTGAGTTATCGCCATATTTAGCCGATCTCAGAAACCTGCTGGGGGCGCCTTTAGCCTTACTGGTCCCCCCCCCCCCCCCCCCCCCCTTTTTCAACTTGAGCAGAGCGAACACTAGTGAGGAGATCGCCTCATCTCCAGCGTTCGCTCTGCTAAAATGAAAAGAGGTGAAGGAGGAACTTCCCCTGAACTCTTAGCCGGCCACCGAATATACATAGCTAACTGTTGAAATTAAACGCTTTGGCTAGGTGGGGCAAGCCGCCGCCCTATTAAAAGGGTTCAGCCACCATCCATCCGCCTAAGGTCAACCGAGCAGGCTTTTAAATGGACCAGATGAGCACTCTGAACATTCACAAACACAACGAGGGATACTTGCGGTCCACCACTCACCCTGATCATCCGAGTAATCTGGAAGGTTCCTGGAGCCTGGTAGCGGAGTCGTCGCCGTTCCTGCATGAGGCGGTCCACGTCCGGATCGTCGAGGCTGCCGCCACGCATCGCGAACGCCAAGCCCTTGCGCAGCGGGTTGCTGCCGCTCATTTTGAAGGCCTCCTGCACGCGCAGATCGACGTGAAGAAAGAGAGAGAGAGGGAAATGCGGCAAGAGTGGCCTTGACAATAGATGGCGGCAGCTACACCTCCCAATTCAGAGGGGAAAATCCCGAGGATGCGGCGCGTCCAGCCGCTCCAACTACGCAAAGCCTGTCCGCATCAAGGCCATTGGATATTCGCGAGAGTGAGATGCAACCCTTGCTCTAATGGTGTGAGGGTAATTTGGTGGTTACCGATATTTATATACGTTGTACCGTATATTACACACACTCTCCTGTGCATGTCTATAAATTATCGCGCCAAAATATGCCTTTTAAGGCCCGTTCACACATGCAGCGGAGCGACACAAGCATAGCGCTAACCTCGCGCTAAGCGCGTGCTGACGGCAGCGTTCACCAGCTTTATATTGCACCGTCAAAACTGTTGTTCATGGCATACGATAAGTAGCTGATGGCACGTGAGGAGCGCTACATCAGCGCTTCGCTGCATGTGAGAACCGGCCTTTATGAGGAAGAAATTTTCAGGTTGACACGCTCAGACCCTTATTGGCTGCACTGAGCTGGAGCAGTGCGTGACGTAAAATATGGCATTCGAGATGCGCCATAGACGTCGCTGACGTATGTATGTTATTGCATTAAATTGGCCCTCTTTTTTTTGTGTGTGTGTATTCTGTCAGGTTACATTTACGCGGTGGAGTAAATATAAATGAATTCGTGCTATGGGGTACAGGAACAAAACAAGAAAAGGCAGATTGGCGACGGTTTCACAGTTTTCTGAACAAAACATGCTTCCGTTAATCATTTATCAACGGATCTGAAGACCCCTTAACACAGTTGTGACTCCTTAGAACCGGGTGTCTTAAAACTTTTCACAATCTCCTACGACGAGAAAACACATGTGCACTCTGGCGCCATTTATGCAGCGACCCTCGAATCGCGTTTCACTAGAGCGAAGGTTTTGCTGTAACAATGCTGTGTTTGCGAGGTTAAATGTATGTACTATCTGTGAGAATGGTCGCTCATAACATTACCAAAGGTTTTTTTAACTCAAAAAAGAAAAAATGATGCGCCAAAAAAAAAAGGAAACATAAGAGACTGCCAAGTGTTTCCACGGCAACCCGATAGGTAGCGCCAGTGTGCCCTCCCGTCGTAAGAGATTTTAAAGGCCGACGTACAACCTCGGTTTTCTGCAGGAAAGATAATCCTCTCAGCGCTCCCCCCTCCCAAGGTGGGGTGAAGTAGGGTGGGATGAGGTGAGGTGGAGTGAGGTGGAGTGAGGTGACGTGAGGTGAAGTGAGTGAGTGAGTGAGTGAGTTCCTTGAGGGGTGTTCGATGAGGGGCGTTCGGTGAGTTCATGAGCTTGGTGAGGGGTATGAATTTGTGAGTTTGGTGAGGGGTATGAGTATGTGAGTTTGGTGAGGGTGTGAGTATGCGAGTTTGGTGAGGGTGTCAGTTTGTGAGTTTGGTGATGGGTGAGTGTGAGTTTGGTGAGGGATGTGAGTTCGTTAGTTTGGTGAGGGATATGAGTTTGTGAGTTTGGTGAGGGTGTGAGTTTGTGAGTTTGGTGAGGGATGTGAGTTTGTGAGTTTGGTGAGGGCTGTGAGTTTGTGAGTTTTGTGAGGGATGTGAGTTTATGAGTTTGGTGAGGGGTGTGAGTTTATGAGTTTGGCGAGTTGAGTGACTTTGTGAGATCAGTGAGGGGTGTGAGTTTGTGAGTTCGGCGAGGGGTGCGAGTTCGTGAAGAAGGGCTTGAATGTTAGTGCGGCCGTGAGGGTGAGGGTGAGTTCTTAGCTATTTATTTTGACCTGACTCTGAGTGAGAGAGTTCAGTCAAAAATGCCGAACCCTGCTCCTGAGTGTAGCTAGACGGCTCTGTTACGGCTACTTCACATCGGAATGCTGTTTTTTTATAACTGCCGTGAGCATGAGTCTTAAAGAGAGGAAAATTCGAGCTTTGCTGTGAAGTGCGCGTAGTTCGAACATTGCAAAAAAAATCGAAAAAGCAGTAACGTTTTAGTGTTTTTCCGACAGTGCTTCACTGGAATACCAGTACGGAACAAAGCCGTCTGCTTTCAGAATTAGGGTAGTTCTCGCAGACTTTACCCATACTACACCTTTTTAATAATGCCGCGCGCTTACGTAGCCTAATCGGCAGCGCGCTGGGCTCACGCGCAGATGGCTCGGGTTCGATTCCCGGCACTGCATGTTCTTTTTCTTTTCTTTATGAAAGTAGAAGAATTGAGAAAATGATAAAACCGGCTAACTTGTTATGTTCAGAATACCTAGTTCGAGAAAGTTCGAGGCAGAATATTTTAGGCTCCTAGGGAGCCGCGCCGGGCTGTAGATGTCAGCCTCGCCCCAGCGCTCGATCCTGCTTTTACGCCGCCATCGACGCCTGCGATGCTAGCCTTCTATTTTGTTTTGGGCACAAGTTTGTCCATATAAAACGTCTAGTTTCCTTCAGTCATTCGTCGCCTAATCAATTGTCATTCGTGATGACATCAACTTTTTCATCAACATTGGTAAGTCAAAACGTTCATTAGGAAAGGCAACGCAATCACCAAGAGGCTCAAACACGAGCGATAAAAAAGAAAGACAGAAGACTCACATTTGACGCTGGAAAGAAGACATTTCCCAAGGTCTGGATGAAGAACCGGTCGTGGTAAGGGTTCCGTAGACTGAGTCCGAGCGTGTTCTTTTCTTTCTGCAAATGACCCATTGAAGCACCTGTAGCACTCTGCTAATATCCTTTGCAGATTAACAAAAGCCCATTCCACAAACCCCTCTGCTCGCCATGACTAATTGCTCCCTCTCCTCCACTCGTCTCCTCTCAAGAGTTCGCTCTGCTAAAATGGAAAGAGTGGAGGGGTTTGTGGGAGGAGTTTGTCCTGCTTTGGCGTGTTTCTCTTATAGCGGCCATGAAGCAAAAGCTCTCACCTTGCTAGCGAGCAGCATGCTGCTCGTAAAGAACGCCGCACCCAGGGGACTCTGAGCTCCGTTCATGACCTCGCTGCAACGAGCGCGTATATGTTTAGTCCGCGAACGGAAAGATATGCGTCCGCTGCAGCATTCTCACCCGATATTGGCCTTGAAGAGGCACTCGTCCGAGCTTCTAATTCCCGAGTCCAGTTCGTGAATAACCTCGCAATCCGTCTGCTGGTGCAACGACGTCACCGGTCGGGACTGAAAGTAAGATCACGCGATGAACGTCTTTCCCGTCGCGTCAGTGGTGTCACCGTCGCAGACGACCGCCTGTTATAAAGTGCTTAGCGGAAGTGTCACACCTGAGTTGATGAATTTACTCTATTTGCAGGTGATTTGCGGCCTCTCGTAACATGAGCGGTCCATTAGCCGAGGCAGCTTATGCGGCAGTGCCAATTAAGTACACTCTGGCTAGGGGCATTTTATTTCTTTAGAAAAAGAGCAAAACAACGATCCATGTACTTTCTCACTTAAACCACTGTGTGCCTGTCCAAAACAAATCCCGCAAAACCGTTTGAAACTGTCGCTCCCAGTAGGTTTTATTATATTGTTGAATGCCATTAAAAGTAACTATACTTCGTTTAACCGTAAGTCACAGCGCAGTCGAAGTCTAGAGGGCGTGCAGACACAGAGGCACAGACTAAAAAAGCAATGTCATGCTGCGTTCATTGTGCTTAATCGGTTTAGCCGGTGATAGGACGCGCACAGAAAGACGGTAAACACCACGTTGCGCTTTTGGAGATGCTTGATTGGTTTCCTCATCGGTTCGTAGCTTCTGCTGCGAACCAACGAGGCTTCATCGGGGGCTGACTCCGGCGCCATCCTGACTCGTATCTTGGATGAAATAACATTACGGCCCTGTATAAAGCAATATTGATTGATATTTGATTCGATGTCTTCAAGCGGAGTTGCCCTCTAGACCCTCTGAAAATGCATCTGGTTTCTAAGCTATAGCTTCCTTCAGACTTTTACTGCGGCGGGGGAAAGACTCGAGAGTTGCGTGGGAGCCGGCAGCGCGCACCTGCAGCACGTAGAGTCTTCCGTCTGCGAAGGCCCATTCCACGTCTCTCGGACCGCAGAAGGCCGTTTCCAGCTGCACGAGAGAAGGTCAGGTTCTCCCGTCAACGATACTCGAGTACACACTAACGCGCTGTTTACGAGCTAGCCCGCATTGGCCCGAAACTGGCTGCGGGCAATGCGCGTGAGCAGAAACCAGATTCGTGTGAGGCGAAGCATCTGCGCATGCGCAGTGCCGACAGCAGCGCCACCGCAGTGGTGTGACGTCAGAGAGTTTAGTTGGTCTACAGCCTCAACAACTTTTGCAAAAATAACCGAGCACCAAGCAGAACGCTTGTATAGGGAGTATTCACTGGCGGCCATTGCTGTGTGCGCGAATGCTGAGCGCGTGCTGACTGCAAGCTTCCACAGTTCTTCTGAAACGTGCATTCCGTACCATCAAAAGTGCCGGTCTTAGCAGCCTATTGATGTGAGCTCGTTCTGAGCATGCGCTCTAAACAGCACCCACAAATATGGCGTCCAGTGAATACTCCCTATACTCACACGTGATGCACGAGTTACCTTCTGCCACAAAAAGACTTTTTAGAGAAAAAAATAATAATAATAAAAATGCAGTCGGCACGTTGCACGTTCACTTGTTGACGTCTTCTTTTAGACATTTGCGTCGTATGTTTTAAAATGATAAGGGCTCATTCACACTGGAAGCGGATCCGCGTTCGCAAAGCGGTTGCGAACGCGGTTGTATAAGGATTCAGTACAATTGCACGCGCACACGATGACATCAAATGCGCGTGCAATTGCACTGGATCTTTATACAACCGCTTTCGCAACCGCTTCGCGAACGCGGATCCGCTTCCAGTGTGAATGGGGGGTAAGTCCAGTGAGTATAGCGCGTGCAAATGTACGCGCCCGGCATTCTTGTTAATGCTTCGGTGATTCGGAAAATGGTAAAAAGATGTTCAGAAAAAATTCCGAGTATACACTTGGTACTATATTCTTATTTGAGGCGCGAATGTAGCGATGATTTTGTTTCTCGAAAGAGAAAAGAGAGAGAGAGAAGGAAAATAAATGAAGGTTGTGGAAAGCTTACTTACTATTTATAATAACATTTGTGCAGCGTGAAAAAAAGAAGGAAAAACAGAAACATATGTACTGCGTGAATAAACCAGGAACTGCGTCGATAAAGTTCCACAAGGAAAACCAAACAGGGTTGAGAAAACAAACACGCAATAGAAATTCGAAGCGTTCTCAAAAAGCAACTTTTGGCTTACCTCTACTCCCAAAGCGGCCAGCCGCATCATCTGCTCTTCTGACAGGCAACATTCGGCTCCGTGTTCCTTGGAGGATTCAAGTTTAGTTCCGCCCTCCTCTGAAGAAAAACGAAGGTGCTACAGCTTTTAATATATTAATGAATGAACTTTACATACTTTCAGTTTTAGCGGGGATACTGGTTTCCGCGAAAACGTCAATTCAAGGCGACGTTCACTTGTGCGAGGGAATATGTCATAATTACAGCTCTTGGACTGCTTTTTTCGAAAAGTGCGATTGCATCACGGTAGTATTTAAAAAAGGTGGCCGCCAAAATAGTACTGACATTGAGGCCGTTTTCATTTCGATCTCACCTTAAAATTTTATTTTGATCAAGTATATCCGCCGATTTGACTACAGACCGTCGTCTAAATATGCCCGCATTTGCTCGACTTATTCGGAACAAATTAATGGAGTTAAATATTTTCTATGGAGTATTCTCATCTTTTCCAGATATGTCGGTTCTTTTGCCCGTAAGGAAATCGCAGCTGGGATACAATCTTGAAATATTTGGCCGGCGCATATATCAAAAATATATGTACGTAAATTTACTTATCCATGAACCTGTCTTTCTACGACAGGCAACGATTTATAAAGTTTTACAACAGCGTCGGGTAGTGGGGCAGTATACTCGGTCCACGAGGGACGCACCGGACAAGGCTGTCCGCTGTAGTTTGGTCCCAATCTGGATGGTGTCGACTCGGAACGCCCCGCCCGGAAGTCTTTCCAGGATCACCGTGTCCGGATCGGTGGTGCCCGAAACCACCGACTGAAATAGACAAGAAAGCGAAAGGAAAGTTTGTGTGCGTTAATTAACTATGGTTGCTGACAGCTTAAGAAAGGCGGGGCGTGGCGTAGCATCTCATTAACACTCCGCAGCCAATGGAATTGCAGCATTAGCTGATAAGAAAGTCGAAGAACCAATCACGCGACAAGAAGCGTCCATTGACGGATACCCCAAGCTAAGCGGATGGACTAAAAGGATGAACAAACACAGGGTGCTTTCTTTGTCTTAGACTTAAATACTGTCATTGTCTCTCGTTACTTCAGCACGTGGGTTCAACTAACTCCAATACTAACTTGGTGCCTGTTCGCGGTTGAATATCGACAGATACCGAATCTGACCGGAAAAGTCGGTTCGCAGAAGTATACATTTGACCAATGCCCTCGTTTGTTCAAATTGCAATATTCCAATAAGAAACAAAACAACAGGCCATAGCCTGATTGTTATTGCTTTCTGTGTTACAATCAGTGCATACTACGTACGTCGCCGATGCCGTAGTTGGCTGTGATGATGATGTTGCGCGGATTGCCTGTCCGGGTATCGCAGGTGAACATCACCCCCGCCACCTGGGAGGGCACCATTTCCTGTACCACCACCGCCATCGGGCTGTTCAAGGGCTGGCCGTAGCGCCTGTTGAAGAAAAATGGAGCTTGTCTCGATCGTTTTAATAAGCTCAGGGAGCACAAAATGTGTCGCGCTTGCGTCATATGCGTGAGCTATGATTTGTTATGCTTGGTTACGGGGAGCATTGGGTGCTTTCGGATGGTTTGCGCGAGCGCGCAACACTTTGCCTCCTGCGCGAGGTGTCTCATGCAGGGGTGATGACGCCAGCTATCTCACATGATGTCTATTACGGGCGAAGGAAGTTTATCACACCCTGCGGTCCCTTGGCTGATGTGCGAAGTTGTGACTCTTACGCCCGCTGAACGGCATGTTGGTGCGTTAACTTATGATCAGCCCTGTGTCATTCGCGAGCTAGCTGCGCGCGCCGACAGTCGGACAGCCGATGCAACCTGTTTTTAAACCTCTCGGCACTGCTCACGACAGGCAGCGCAGCAGCAGCGATGGCAGTTGTACACGGCTGAAAAGCCGGTTGCGACGTATAGTCGGTCGTAGTCGGTTGTAAGTGTGAAATAGCTTTCACAGCTCCCGTTCGCTTCCTCCACGTGCGCGGAGAAAAGGCGTCCGACTGCGGATCACACGGTTCCGGGCTTGATTCCCGCTGCTCGGGGCGACTCATTCCAATTAGACTTAATTAAGCTTACTTATAACTAGGGTTCTGCGTTTTCGGTTTCTATTTTTTCAAAATTCGGCGTACTTTTTTCGGTGTTTATTTTAAAATTCAATTTTCGGTGTTTTTCGGCGTATATTTGTGCCCACAAAAGTTTATCGGCTTTTTTCGGTGAATATAAAATAAACACCAACGGACACCGGATTGGATGATCCTTGTAGCTCTGATACTTGTGATCACTCAAAGAATAACGGCATAGGTACATTGAAAAAGAAATGAGCGCTTTATTTGGCAAATGTGTGCAGCTCTAGAAGAAACAAGGAAAAACCTGAGAAGCACGAAGAAGTCAGATATGAAGCCTATGCCCGAAAAACATAGAACTTCACCTTCTGTACATCGGGATTGCGGTATCTTATAATGGTAAACCCAGATGTACATTCCGAGGTTCTCCTGGTTGATCCGCACTCTTTCTTTCCTGTTGCTATATGGCCCTGAGCTTCGAGAATGCCCTCTCAACACTAATACTGGACACTGGCAGGCTGAGGAGAGGAAGCGCTGCCTGAGCCAAAATCGGCCAATCAACCAATTGTGACCACCAAAAGAGGCACGGTGCGACTTTGAAGCTCAACACAGCATGCTGAGCTTGCATAAAATCAGTCTTCCTTAAAACGAGTTTGAAAACATGCTCGTACATCGCAAAGTTATGAAGCATTTCAGACTTCAAGTTCCGATCGATGGTGCGTACATTAAACCAAAACGTCGTGATGGCATCCGTGTATCCCATACATTCGGACACGTTTCGATAGACACTGTCGTTCTACGTTTTCGCCACGGCTCTGCGGTACGACTGGAAGGTCAAAGTGACCTTTTCCGGTTAAAACTGAATTTTAGAAAATTGATTCGACATACTTTTATCGGTTTTAATAAAATATTCCGAACCTAAAAACTGACCTTTTTCGGTTAAAACCGAATTTCTGAAAATGGATTCGGCGTACTTTTTTCGGTTTTTATCGGTTTAAACCGAAAACCCCGAACCCTACTTATAACTAAGTATGCCTTCTTTATAATGTGTAAGCTTACACATTGCCTGCTATGGGTTTTGTATGCTTTATACTGTTTTGGCAACGATTTTTCGTTTTGCTCGAGCATAACACTTTTTTTGCGCGAAATCCAGCCCTGAAACACGTTAGGTGTTCAAATAAAAACGTGAGCGCTCCAGGAAAGGTCGTGTGCTACGTAGTGGACATATGAAACAACTAGAGAACACAGATTCAGCCGATGGCGTGTCGCGTTATCACGCAGTGCTTCAGCGTGCGCTAAAGTGTTATCGACAGTGCAAGGCTCGTTGACGACGGAGATTATACTGCAGATTTTATGCTGCAACAGACAGCAGTGATAATCGTATATTCGTCCGACAGTAAACAATAACGAAGGAGTTGCCTTCATTACTCTCCCTTTTTTCCTCGACCAAAAAAAAAAAAAAAACGCATGGTAATCACTTCATTTAACAACAAAAAAAAAATGACCCCATTTTGCTATAATTTTATGCTGATCTGAGGTGCTCATGCAATATCTCAAGCAACAACGTCCAGCGCGTGGTCGGTGTATGCACATGATTTACCTGCTTATTCCCTAATATTTCTTCTTGCTTATGTCTTTATTTTTTCTTGTTTTTTTAGATAAACGTATGTTCACAAAACCAAAAGGCGCCGTTCTTTAAGACAATCACCGCATTAAACACGTGTGCAGAGATTTGTTCGGCAAGATATAGCATACAGATACCAGACGCAACATCTTTCAAGATCAACGGAATGTGTTCACTATATTCAAAGTTTTCCACCTGTTCAATTTCGGCTCCAAGAAAAAGGTTCGGTGAATCTTTCTGCTTAGTTTACTAATCGAATCCATCATGTGCATTCTGAAGCCAGGCCTAAATTTCCCTATTTTATTCCCATTTTCCATTTTCCAATAGCCAAAATCAAGATGAGGATGGCTACAGCATGGCGCGCGGACAAAGGAAAGGATGACTCGTACCTCTTGTAGCCGCACGCAATGTGGGAAAACTGGGAAGCCCAGCATTTCTGAACTGCCTTGAGAACCTGCAAAAACGGAATAAGTCGCCGAGAAGGTATCGTAAACATGATAATATTGCCACAAGCGTGGCAGAGTTGGCACCGCGCGCGGCTCCCACGCGAGGCATGGGGTTCAAACCCCTTCAGCCTAGTTCCTCATTTTATCATTCGCGGCTCTTCTTGTAGCGTTTTGTAACGTCTTTCCGTCGCCGCCGCAGAATGTACGGCACCCCACCCCTTCTCTTTTTTTTTTCTACTTGGAGGCTTTGCTTTATTGGACGATTATTTTTACTTTCAACACGAGCACGTTTTAATCCCTAACAATAGATACATTCAGCGTCTCAGAAAAGACCTTGAGTGTATGCTGCGCCGTGATGCATTCCCAACAGGAATCATCGATTTTTTTTTTTGTTTTTTTTTTATCCTTTTCGGTCAATGAGAAGCTAGCTCAGTATGCCTTCACGCGTTGGTGGTATCGTTGTAAAATTTAGTGGACACGTTTTTGCCATTGGCAGAACCCATCAAAGAAAAACCGATGATTGGTTTTCCCGTGAATGCATCGCGAGGCAGTATACGTACAGGAGATACCGAGAGTGCGACCTCACCTCATCGGCTCCACGAATAGCCAAGAAGGTTTCCATCTGGCCGGCAGCTGACATGTCCTCGGAGTCTTCACCTGCGACCGCGAATCGTCCATTAAAACGGGGGGTTTTAATGGACGATTCTAAACTGTGTAGTGCCCCTACCGTCTGCTTGACTAATTATGACAATCCGATATACGGAACGTGAAAGATTACGCAGAAATAGAATACGACGTTCACATAGATTTAACGTTTTATAATTTGAGATCGCAAAGAAAGCAGAAAGAAAGCAAAACAATATGCGATATCCTTGTTTCATGATCTTTTTTTTTTTTCTTCATGTGTTCTGAATTTACGCTGATCAGAACGAATGGATCGTGCCATTTTTAGGATATGCGAAGAGCCTCAGCCGGCCCGAGCGCATATCAGAGCAGCCCCACAATACCCCACACCGCACAGTGCAATGTGGGATAACCACATGGTCTCCTGGGATTTTCCGGAAAAGTCTCTTAGTAGACGAGGAAAGGCTTATCAGAAGCGCCACAAACGTCACTTACCCACGGCCGAAGATCTGACTGCCAGCAGCACCTCTTCAGCCTTGGACCCGAAGAAGTCTGTCAAGCCGGATTGAATAGAACGCCGAGTGGATTCCGGCAACGACGTGGACTCGAGGGCGTTCACGACTCTAAACAATAATGAAACAAAATATGTCCTAAAAGAGCGATCAGTTAGCTGACCACGCGTATCATTTACCCTCGGACACTCCTGAGTTTACATGACGTATAACCTTTCTCGCGCCTATGACCCTGGTAAAAAGTGCCGAATCACTGGGCCGTGAACGAATGTGCATCGTCTGATATCCGCCGGAGGGACCTACTGTGCGTACTCAGGAGTCAGGAGGCGTTCTCACCAAAATAGATTAATATGGCGGCGCGCCGAAGAAGATTTCTGGAATGTTCTATACACATATCGCCACCACTTATTGGCCCGGTGAAAAATATTAAGTCACTGGACTGTGAACGCATGTGCTACACCCGATATTCTGTAGAAGGGAGCTACTGGGCATGCCCAGACCGTGTTTCACATCCCAGTGGACCATAATGGCAGCGTGTAGAAGGTGAGCGGCACATTCGGAACAGGGGTCACCGATTTCCCGTATAGCCTAGCTCTCACTAGCCGAATAAAAAAGGTGACCGCTATCATACCCCAATGGTCATGCAGTGTCCGCATTCTTTAGACTACCAGAGCACATGGTCGTTACAGTGTGTCATGGATCGTTCTTTTAATCGGTTCAATCGATTAGTGTTCAGAGTATGTTGCGGGGCAGCCTATACATTCAGAGGTACCCGAGTGTAATTTCAAGCGGTACACTTACTTCTTGCAAGCCTCTATTGCTGCGCTCGTTGTAAAGCTGAAACGAAACGAATAAATAATAAATAAACGCCAGAATGAAAGACTGGTGTTGGTATCCGGTTTTTGTGTAAAGGAAGCTGAACATGAATGCAAGCATTATACCGCTCCATAAAACTCCATCAGGTCGAAGCGGTGCAACTTGGTGACTTGCTTGTTTGCAGTGTCATGATATAGATAGTCACCGAACACCTTAATAAAGTGAAAGAGAATAACTATTTCAGACATTCATCCTTCATCACGATTTGTCTACCTTTAATGTTAGTGTACAGTCGAGTAAGCCCTGAACGTTATCACGCAGTCACAACACTGTGAAAAACAGTGGTCTCTCGTGCTCGAGGCACGACAACTCAAGTACCTCATCAGGTTTTCCTTTTGAATTCTATTATTTGTCTCATCTCACTAAACATGACCCGATAACTGTAGTTGAGCGCACCAAGTGGTTTCTTCCAGCTCTCGGATGGCTGACTGAACGGCGTCGACGGCAACAAAGTCTTGGTAGGAAACGGTCGTCACCACAAATCCCCTGGGAACGATCACCTGGAATAAGTCACACGAGACAGTCTGAGACAGACGTGAAGAGCATCTAACTATATTTATTGCTACTCGCTCAAAAGAATATCATTACTCAGTCTAAAAGCTGTACGGAGAAAGGAAAGAGATTGCTATATATATACTTTAACTCACTATCTGTTAAAATAACGTGCCACCGGTAACGGTGCTGCCTATAACGTTAGAAAGGACCGTTCTGGAAGCTGGAAGTCTCAGGGCCATTACACTCTAAAAAAAGCCAGTACGTCTACTTTCCCGCAGAACACTCGGAGAGCCAATCACCGCAATTTATGGAGACAGCTCAGCCAATGACGATGCCGAAACATATGTTTAGACCAAAAAACGCAGTCTGAGTTGTGACGCAAAACGTCACGCTTGCATTGTTTAATGTCACAACTCAGACTGCGTTTCGTGTTTCGGCATCGTCCTTCGCTGAGCTGCCTCTGTAAGTTGTGGTGATTGGCTCTCCGAGTGTTGTGCAGGAAAGTAGACGCACAGGATTTTTTTAGTGTAATATACTTCGTTGAGTCTTTTAACAAAACATATAGGCAGCCGCGCATGAGCTTTCGTGAGGCTTCTTCCAATCCCTTCCTACTGAATCCGTATTTAGTTATGTAACGCTTTAGGTATGTGCACTGCGCGACGCTGCCAAGCCACAGTAGCATGCTCATACGGCGTACAAAATACACGAAGAAAAACGCCACGGGCAGTGTTTGCAGACTGCCTTCTGTTTGGTGTATAAGTAGTGGAATCGCGGATTCAGAGTAAACCTGACTTTGGCAAGTTTGTTTTTCAATTTTTATTTCGAAAGGATATTGTGAGGCACCAGTTTTCACTTCTAAATTTTCCTACGCACATGCATTTGCGTTTGAGAGTATTTGAGCGCGTCTAACTTCAACGAACAAGGACATCCCTGTTTCTTATGTCACATGCCAAGTTATTTTTTTTTTTAAATTAGATTCCACGTCTGATACGAACCACAGATGTGCCGGTGACTTGCTTTCGTTTCTCGAGACAGCGACAGATCCCCGATCCGGCTTCTTAGCCAAAAAGTTTGGAAACCCCTGGTATGGACTCAAGCGTCGGATGACGACGACACAGAATTCTAGAGCGCGTGATTCTCACTCAAACTTTTGCTTGGAACACCCTTAAATCGATGGGGCGTTCACATCTTCATAACTGGATGTTATATCCAACATCTGGGAAGAGCGCGCGTGGTTGCTGCACGCTATTGTCGTTTCGGCTCTCTATTGGTTCAGACCTAGGACGCTTTCAACAACAAAAAATGTGCTCAAAATTCTTGAATTCTTTCACCTGTTATGCTCAAAATACACCATATTTCTTCTTTATTGTATTTTTAATGTGTTGCTGAAGTCCGACACACTAGTTCGAGCGAATGTGATGCAAATTAGAAAATGGCCAGAAACGCTTTGCAGGGCCCCTACAAAAACATTTAGGGGCTTATTTATTGGTCTATTAATGTTCAAGGGAGCAGTATATCACATATGACACACCAATCTCTCGTCGAAAAAGATACGAAAAGAAATTTAAAGCGAATTAAACTTAGTAAAGAGCACCTGGTGGATGTCGCTAACGCCTCGTTTGTAACGGCTGTCTAGGAACCTTGGCGGGTAGTGACCATAACTGTCTCGTCTGCGGCCACCACGACATAAGAGGGAAAGGAGGAACTCGCCTTCCTCCGAAACTCTCTTTTGTGTGTCCCAGACACCGATATTCTCCGTCTACAAGACTATAGAAGATTAGGCCGTCACTCAGAATTCACACAAAAGCAGCTTTGCGTTTAGTTGCAGTGGCCTGATCGCTGGTGTGCTTCGACCGCTTCGGTGGCTGGAACGGCCAGGGAGTCCTGACGACGTCAGCCTCGCCGCAAGTTTGCTCATCCCGAGACAAACTACGTCACGACTGCGCCGGATGTGACCTGCTCTCCGCTAGCTGGTCTCCGAGCGCTTGCCAGTGTGGGCCGTTTATAACAAAAAATGGAGCCACCAGTCTCAATATACATACGTGCGATTGTCATTTACGGATATTGTGGATCATATTCAGCCTACCTTGAACACCACGGGTATATTATCCGTGGTGTATCCCTTTAAGTGAGCACTCTCCTTCACCATTATAGATTTGATGGCAGCCGTTACATTTTAGGAGGAAAATGAATGGCGATCGCTTGTTCGCGTTAACAGTGTTGCACAGTGTACGTATACAAGTTTAGTCCGAAATTACCACGGAGTGTAACTGTTTTCGGCGACCCGTCGACAAACTAATTACCTGAGGTTTGCTCCGGCTTAGTTTCGTGAGGGCAGCCAAAGAGGCTCCTTTTCCACCCGTGAGCCCCGGGTCCAGACAGGCCTCCGCCTCGAGGCTCACCACCGGATCACGGCAGGAAGCTACAGTGACGAAAAGAGCGTCGCTGGGGTCAGGTGGTGGCTTGCGGTTTAGGGACGGGTTACATGGGCGTAGCAACCGGGGGGAAAAAGGGGCGCCTTACCCCCCCCCCCTCCCAGCTTTCAGAGTGGGGGGGGGGGGGGGGGCAATGCATGTGTTTTGCCCCCCCCCCCCCCCCCCTCTCCCTGAAACAGCCGCCATTGGGCAGGGCAAACACTAGCCGGCGGCGCCCAAGGGATACCAAGGGCGCCACCCCCCGGTCCTGGGGGTGGGGGGGCTATGGTTTACCCCTCCACTCAAAAACAAGTTGGTAGGCAACTGTCGGGTTATCTGTTTTCCTGCTGCCTTCTGAATTATAGCCGCTGACGGCTTAGGAAATCAAGGGACTGAGTCCCGGATATCTTAAAATCGCTTTTGTTTGTCTTCGAATTATCAAATTGCACAGCACTCGAATGAGCCGATCCTTTCCATTTAACGTTATTTTCTTTTAAACAAATGCCTAAAAAACAAGTTTTTTTTATTTATGAAAAAGGAACCTTGATTTCTTTTTGCTTGTTTTTTCTCGTTAAGTTGTTATTTCAGTGATGATAGCGCATGTTCTCACATATGCTCAAACAGTGACTTAGAAGACGTTTACAGGTAGCTTGTAGAGATGGTGAAAGAGAGCTTACATGCTTGCAAGCTTGAGCGAACCTCACAATCGCGCAGAGACTGAATAGTATGTCTACACGACAGTGATAACCCGGAAGGCTAAAAACCAGACAAAGAGGATCACTACCGCGGCCAAAGCATGTGCCGAGCGATTTATTTGCATGCGCTCTTTTCCGGATAAGACGCAAGATAAAGCTGCGCTCAAGGCCGATAATTTTGGCAGCGTTGTGTAGACACTTGAAAGCGTTCACCGCGTGCGCCGAGCGAATCATTTTCACGCACTCTCATGCAGATAAGACGCAACAAAAAGCTATGCGCTCGGGCCAGTGAAAGTTTGGCATCAATATGGCCGCCGCCATCTTTTTGCTCGTGGAAGCGAGCACGTGGAATAACAAGCCGGTCAAAGGTACCTTCACGCGTACGCCGTACGTGCTTGCACGCACGAGCCACAAGCCGAGACGCGGTGCTTGCAATATAGACCCTTTCCGAAATTCACCCTGGCCACTTCGACAACTATCCCCATCTACGTTTATACTATCTGTACATGCTAAATCCTGGGTCACACTAAAGTGAACTAAAGGAGGAGTGCGTGAGCTCAGCGAACGCTCATGGCCACTGCACTTCGTGTCGACGGCACGAGAGGGCGTCACTAAAGCATAGGCTGTTGTAGCGCATACATCGAATTGCATTTGCTGCGCTACTGGAGTTGTCGTCGTCGTGGTCATTTTCATTATAGTCGAATCGGCATTTCACTTCATTCGACATGAGCGACAGAAAACGGGGAAAGATCTGACCGGGAACCAGTTCGCGCTGCCAAACCGCCAATCCAAACCTGCTCGCCGGAGGCCCTCGGAGCGCTCGGACCCTTCAGCCTAGAGATGCGCGTTCATCCCCGTAGCGCAGGCTTTCCTACACGACATGGGACTCTGCTGCTCACGTGACTGAATTCGGCGAATAGCGGCGCCGCGCTCTTTCTTCTCCTTTCCTGGAAAACAGGAAAGGAGGAGGAGGCAAAAGCAGGAGAACATACGCCGAGGCGCTTGCAACGTTTCCAAGCGGCCGTGCCGGTGGCTTTCGCGCACGGTACATGGATTTTGCTCCTCACGTGATCCCATCTCGGCGAATAGTGGCGCGGGGGCACACGGAAAACAAACACGCCACTCTCGCTCCCGTAGGGAGCCCTACGCAGGAACTCTAATTCAGCATAGGGTGCCTACATGTCTGTCTGTCTGAGGGTGAAGACATCTATTGTTGCCCTGAATGTACCAGCGCGTGACGTTCTCTCGCACTCGGTGCGTGACTTGGGCGGTAAAATGGCGTCGATGCATGGTCCAAAGCTACGCGCTCGAGCTGAGGGACACCGGATGGCGCGCACTTCATTATTCATAAAAAAAAAGAAGAAAAAAACAATTGATTGGACGGAAAAATGGCTTAGATGTCACCACTATATATGGGTCCCAAATAATTTTCGCATATTCGAGAACACAGTGCTTGCGCTGTTCCCGACATCCCACCTCGAATGCATGTCGAGGCATTGATTGTCACGAGCCTAAATCGAATGCCTACGCTGTCTTCGTGCCCACTGCAGAAGCAGCATTCAAATATCGTCGTAGCGGGGATCGCATAAATTGATGACGCACTCCTGGGGATCGCATTGTTGTCATTGTCCCCACAGCTCCGTCATCAAGTTTTGCGAAAGAAAGACTGATAGAAAAAATCCTCTTTTATCCTTGGAATTCCATCGCGTCTAAGACGCTTCTTGGTCAGTGGCGTTGCGTTCGAGTATTATTGGGTACCCCTAATACCAGTAAGTTGATGTAAAGTGAGAAACATTCCTGCCCAATGTCGTTGCACAGCCCCTTTCAAGGGACCATGAAATGATTTTTCAACATCTTCCTTAGCTTTCATCGTCAACTGAGAAGCGAAATGAGTAATCAGGTGACCGTGACGTGCTTGCACACCGGTGCGATGACTCCAAGCTTAAATCGTGCTTTTTAAGCACACCATATAACTTGTCATTTGGAAGTGAGGATAAGTGCTGTCACGGTCTCATTGGCCACGAACGCGAATTGAAATATTCGTCGACGGATTGATTGTTGACGAGCGCCGTCCGAGTGACGCAGTGCTCGTGACCAATGCGTGAGCTGCGTTCGGCTGACGTGCTCACACACCGAGGATGCAACAGTCAAAAGACGAAAAACGTTCAAAAAAAAAAAAAAAAAGGAGGTAAAAAACAGTTTGTTATATTTTCAAGTTTTCGTACCGTAAAGCAAGGGTTTATGCTTTCTTGGCTCGTGCACTAGTTTGATTTTGGCACACTAAACGATATGCAATTAGTAAAATCCCAATTTATCCCAGTGGAAAGTTAATTTCATGATCGCTTTAACGACGGCTTTTTGATGTCTGGTGAAGAAAGACTTTGAAGTCTGTCACTGAGGCACTCTACGGATGCGGAGCCTGCAGAATCCGGACGTCAGCTCGCTGTATTTCTGCTCGGTGGCACCGTGACGAGACTTAAGGTTCTATGCGTTACGCATTTGAGGGGTGCCATACAAATACTAGGAATTCTGGGCTTCAGCATGCCCCAGATAACACATGACCATAACATGTGATGAATTTTATCGAGGGCCTTACTGAACTAAGCGCCTCGTATACAGAGAATATTGACACAATCGAAACTGAAACAAACACATAAGTAGCTCAACAGCGAAGAACACCTTAACTTTTGTACGTCCACCGTAGACGAAAGATTAAAATGCGTAGACTTATAGACGCTTTCAGCGCGCGCCAGATTGAGCCGCCATAGCCGACCTTCTCTTGTCTTACCGAGATGCCGAGCCACTGAAGCGGGCGTGGTCGAGCCTCCACAAAGGCCTTGGCTGGGGAGAAGAACGCAGTAGAATCTAAAATGGCAATAGCCTGTCTTGCTGTGGTAATGATGAAGTGAAGCGAACGGAATAAGCGGGAACAAAAACTGAAGGTCGGTTATGGCGGCGCCCATGCACAGCTGCCTGAAAGCGTCTATATTTGAGACGCCAGTTGGCACTGAATTTGTTAAAGGGTCTAGTGCGGAGAGAAACGGAAGGAGAGGAGGAGATCAGAGAGTGCGGTGACGTTTTAAACAACAATAAAACTTTCCACTTGCCTTTTTGTGGCCTCAAAACAATGGTCGGCGGGACGGGGTTGGCGTAGCGTTCGCTGGGGCTGCGGAAAAGAAAGCACTTAATATGCATAGCGACGCTCTATAATAACTGACAACTCAAGAAATGCCACGCCCTGCATTATTTCAAGCTGTTGGTGACAGGCATACTTAATTGTTATTAAGTTTCTCTGGGTCTTGGCGATGCGATTTGTTCTATTACAACAGAAATGTATTCACGTCCTTAACTATATAAAAAATAGGGCTGGGCGCCGATTAAAAAAAAAACTTAACCGTATAAATCGTCACTCTTTAATCGATTAATTAATCAATTAATCGGAGGTATTGACCTACAGACATAATGTCTGAAAAGTGAAAAAAACTACACATTATCCTTTTGACATTTTTTTTTTTTTTTTTTTATTGCCATCGCGATGACGCTGTGTAGTCTCGTTTGGCATATTCCGAGCCTCCTTTTCTCTCTCGCCAGTTAAAACTTGACGCATACCACCGACAAAACAAAACACGGGCAATCAATTTTAAGATGAATGTTTTACGCTCTCGATGTTAAATACTTTTCTGTGCGAGACAACAACGGTGGTGCCTCCTAAAATGAAAATATGAGTGTCAACTAATGAAGCGGACCTTTTTTCTTCACCACAAGTGGCTTGAAGGGTTGATTAACCGGTTAAAAAAACTTATATGCGATTAAAGCATTAATCGAGTCATCGGAAGGTTAATACCGATCGATTTTTTTGTGACGTCTGTCATCATCAATGAGGACAGACGTCACATGGAAAAAGCTTACCAATGTTCTAAATCGTTCACATAACATGAAACATATCCAAAAAATACGCCTGAATGATAGGGACCTAACGGATCAAGCACTAGCAGACGCTTTCAATGATTATTTTGTAAACCTATCAAGAGATGATCCCGATACAAATGCTTGCGCGTATATCGAACACAGAAGTAGTGGCTCTATCTTTCTTCAGCCAGTAACTGATAATGAGGTGACACAAGCATTTTTATTACTAAAGAATAGTAGCAGCTGCGACGCTGACGAGTTACAAATAGGTCCGATAAAATACGTTTTAGATCTCATATCGCCCTGTTTGACGTATATCTTTAATTTGTGCTTGTACAATGGGGTATTTCCCAAAAAAATGCAGATTGCGAAAGTTAGCGTTCTTTATGAAAAAGGTGACAAGAATGATATAGGTAACTACAGGCCAATCTCAATTTTATCAGTGTTTTCAAAAGGCCTCGAAAAAATTCTACTTTCGCGTATGGTACATTTCGCAGATAAACATGGTTTAATCTCTCCATCACAGTTTGGGTTTCGCAAACACCGTTCCACAGAATTGGCACTCCTGGAGCAAAAAGAATACATCTTGAAAAGCTTTGAAGAAAAAAAAAATGACTCTTGGTATTTTTATTGATTTCAGCAAAGCATTCGATCACTTAAATCACAGTCTGCTACTAAAAAAATTACAAATGTATGGATTTCGTGGACATGCATCAACTCTCATAACATCTTATCTTGCACATCGTAAACAGTACGTTCATATAAATGGTTATTCATCTGACATTAAACCCATTCTATCTGGCGTTCCACAAGGAAGCATATTAGGTCCCTTCCTTTTTAATTTATATGTTAACGATATTGTCAATATTAATAAAAGTGTTAAATACGTAATTTACGCTGATGATACAAGTTTATTTTTTACCGGTAACTGCTGTCAGGAACTAGCAATAAAGGCAAATCAAACGTTGAAAGACCTCGCTACTTGGAGTCAATGTAATGCTTTAAAAATAAATGATAACAAAACAAAAGCAATTTTATTTCGCCCAAAAAGTAAGAATGATTATATAACTACTGATATTGTTTTAAATGGAACCAAAATAGAGATTGTATCTAGTTTTAAGACACTTGGCGTTATATTCACGGATCGAATGAGTTGGGATGAACACGTAAATTATATTTCGGTAAAATTGTCACGAGTCGCAGGCTTAATGTATCGTCATCGCCATATTCTGCCCACAAATGTAAAATTAATTATTTATAATGCATTGTTTCTCTCCCACATTCATTATTCCTTCTTAGTCTGGGGTACTACTACGAATACAAATTTAAACAAAATACTTGTGATACAAAAGAAAATATTGCGAAGTATTTGTAACGTGTCATACGATCACCCTAGCGAACCTCTCTTTAAACGTTTAAATTTGATGCCTGTAAATAGATTATATAAATATCGTTTATGCATGACCTATAAATCCGAAGTACAAACAAATCTTCATGCCCTTAGTGAATTGGCGTCTCTCTCGCTAAGGGTAGCAACGTATCCTACTCGAAACACGGAAATTTGGACGCTCCCTATTTGCAAAACTAACTACGGTGAACAAATGTTAAAGTATGCACTTCCTCGACTGCTTAATTTTCTTGTTACTCACAACATTGACCTTCCGACAACATCTGTAAAAAATCTCCGAGCATTTTTTTTCTTTTCCAAATGTGATTGCTTAGTTGTCATGTTTCATAAACTAAATTTTTGCTGAATTGTATAATGCTTTGCTTGCATGTGCTTTGATTTTGTTTGCCTTTTATATATAGTCGCACCTTTTTTGTAATATTGTCCTGTTCTTATCTCTGAAATTGTTATCTTTTCTCTTGGTTTTCTTTTTGGATTACTTGTGCCACTGCTGCCATGTGTAAGGGGGGGGGGGGGGGCCGAGGGCCCGTCAAGCTGCATGATGCAGCTTTTTTCCTCGGTCTCCCTCCGTCATTTGTGTTTTGACGGAAAATAAACATTATTATTATTATTATTATTATTTCCCAGCCCTAATTAAAAGTGCGTTGGCACAGTTATCACACTTCCTTCAACCGCTTCGGGAACCCGTATCGCAACGTGCAGCGCAAGAGGTTTGTTCAGCCCACTCACCAATTTTGTGGACTGCCCATCAGGGGCGCGGCTAATCATTTTCCTTCTTGTTCAAATAACCCACTTCCATTCTTCTGATGATCGAAAATTGCGCCGCCTTGCCCCATGCTGCCCCGCGTCACACCGAAATGATCGCCCACACCGATCACCTTTGCCATTGGCTGAACTGGCAGAACTTGGAGGACGCTTAAGCTTCGCCTTTAATAGTGCAACGCGATAGCTAAATATGAATCCTGGGTCGTTCCGAAGCCGTGCAAGCGTGCCTTGCGTGGCCTAGTCTGCAGCGTGTCTTGCTCGCGACCGAAGGGTCGTGGTTTGGAATGCCGCCTATAAATTTCTTCAAATTTTTATTTAAGGCCGATGTATTACTTCATAGAGTGAAATAATTTGAGACATGCGGCGACCTTTAATTCGTATTACATGTGTTGTTTTTTCAATCACTTTCATTCCACGCGTGACGTCACGTTTCGCGTGTTCGTTGTGGGTTGCTTGAAATTTCCGGGCGAGGTCATGTGGCTGTGACGTCATAAGAATATCGCCCTCAAAATATACTTCCAGCATTACTGCAAAGCTACGGAGTTGGCGGCGAAAGTAAAAGGAACCCAATACTCTGACTGTTCTCCGGTTGTAAGTGGTTACAAGGGATGTCAACGCACTCGATTACTCTCAAACGTAAATGTGTGAAGCTGCCTTTAACAAAGCGATAATCGAAGCAGGCTCACCAGGGCGACGAGAGGTACACGAGGCAGCCTCCGTGGTCGTTCATGAGGAACGGGCGGAGCTCCAGCTTCACTTCGCCGTGCTCCCCGAATCGCTCCGAGGGCAAGCGTTGTGTGTCCAGGAGCTCGCTGTCCACCTGAACCCTGAACCGAAACTTGTCCGAAAGGGGTCCTGCCAATCAACGCCACCGGGCTTATGACACCTACAGACACTTGCGTAAAGCGAAGCTGAAGCATTCGTCTGCGCTGTGGCAATGCGCAATGCAAAGCGGGATGTTCGCATTGCGTAATGCCACAGCGCAGACCTAATTTTGAGGTCTAAACAGAAGTTCGGCCTCATCATTCGCTGAGCTGATTTCGTGGATCGCAGATATTGGCTCTTCTAGTGTTTTGCGGGTAAGTAGACGCACAGACATTTCTTAGACTGCGCGCGTACTCGCCCCTCCTCCACTGCCTATAGTTTTTCGGCACATAGCTTTTTTGCCCCGTGAATTCAGTCCTCGCATTTAAAGATGCCGTGAAATTAATTTTGGGCTGGGATAAATGTACTTAGATTGTGATTTTACTAATCGCATATTGATTAGTGGGTCAAAAGAAAGAGGGTAGAAAGTCCAAAGCCTGCTTTTCAGAACCTGACGTCAATGCCCAACGACTTTGCCTTGACATGTCGCAGCTCTCGCTGTGACTACTGTGGGTTCACACAGGACTGCTAATATATTTTTTTTTTAATTAGTGTGACAGGTTTGCCATATAAGGAAGCAACACAACTCAGAGAGTGTGTTTTGTATGATGTATTAATAGTATGACCGTGGCTTTAGGTTATTCTCGGTTACAAAGTAAAGCTGACAAAGCGACGACGGTGTTTGTTGCCTATGGCATGCTGTCCATTCGCCCGAAAAATCTCAATTTGGAGGTATAGTTTCTAAGTTTCAGCTAATCTGGAGAAATCAAAGCGACCAATACATATGTAATGTTGCCCGTGGCACTGCTTGTGGACATAACAACTTCGCGAGCGCGTAGCTTCCCCTATGCGGGAGCTAGCGGTGCTTCCAAATGGCACGAGTAAATTGTGTTATACTCTGTTTCATACTTAGCGTGCAACACTGTCAAAGCCACTGGCGCGAGCACGTGGCTTCATCTATGGTTTTGTTTGCGCGAAAACGCGTGGAAATGATCAACGAGATCAAGCTCCATGCTCGCACCAGTAGCTTTGACAGCGTTGCACACTAAGTATGAAACAGAGTATAAGTACGCGCGAACCCATACGACCTTACGCTTAGACCTGCCTGTAGCGCGTGCACACCTGTGCTGCCCATGATTTACGCAGAGCAATATACACGCGCTTGCAACATCTGTTAATAAAGCTTCGACTCTAAAATGGTGCGCAAATATCACGGACTCGATCGTATCAAATAAAAACTTACCTCGAAAACACTAGTTGAATTTGCGTATTAAAATTTGAAGTCTTAATTCCAGGCACAAAAAAAAGCCCCCAAAAGATGATTTTTGTTTTGTCTCGTAATTGAAGTAGAGGCTTCAATTTGTATTGTGAAAATGGGACAAGTAAAATATGTATTCGAGGCAAGTTTCAACTTAAGACGCTCAGTCGCTGATTTTTGAAGGGCCATTAATCGTAGTTTATAACTTTATTTTGAAACACTCAAAAATAAGCCCTCAACGTATAAAGTTGAAGCTTATTTCGAATACGTATTTTCACTAGTCCCATTTACACAACTTACCTCGACCACGTATGTTGATAGACCCACTGGCACATTAAAACTTCAAGTCCTTACTTTAAAAAAGAAATAATAAGATAAAACATGTCAATTTAAAAGCATAGGCGTTTTTTTTTTTTTTTGTGTGTGTGTGTGTGTTTCAAATCAGGACTTGAAATAATAATGCGTAAATCCGACCAGTAAAATACGTATTCGAGGTAAGTTTCTAGTTGATACGTCGAGTCCCTGGTTTTTGCAGGTGATTTTAGAGTCGAAGCTTTATTTTAAAATACCATGTACAGCTGTATTATTTATTTCGGCGCCGGCTGGTAGCACATTCTCTTCATCGGTGAGTCGAAAACGCAGCTTATTTCGATGATGGCACGGAAACAGTTGGAGCTTAAAAAAACGTATTTGCGCTTCCGTGCGAAACGCGCTCTTTCGACCCATGCAAACTTAAAAGAGATGCGTCCTGCTGAAGTGCTACTACGTGCTACTGCAGCCCGCTGGCGCCACGCTACGGTATGGTAGTGTCACTTTTGCTAGTTTTCCCTCTTCGTTTTCGCGCTCTCCCGCGCTTGACGCGCCGCAACGGGCAGGGCTACATCGACATTTTCATTTGCGTACGACACTCCAACAAGAAAAATCGAAAGAACATAATTTTTAAGGTGTGTCTACACTAAAAAATTCGCAGATTTTTGTTTTTCGAATTTAATGATTTTTTTTTTATTTTCCTTTAAGAAACACACGACGTGGCGAGCATATTATTACCAGTCAGCAACCAATCAGATTGTTGCATTAGCCGATACGAACACCAGGGAACCAATCACAAGTCAAGAAGCGTGAACATACTAAGCCACGTCCCCGCAAAGCACTTGAGAGAAACAATTGCTGTAATCTACGGAGAAAGATTGGCTTAAGATGACGCTGATCGGATGTTTATAATACATATAGACGCTTTACACACGCGCAAAATTACAGCCGCCATCGCTGACCTTCTCTTGACTTACCGAGATGCCGAGCAACTGAAACGGTGGTTGACGGCCAATGCTTTAGAAAAGAACACAGTTGAATCTAATATGGAAATAACCTGGCCTGCTATGGTAATGAGGAAGTGAAATAAACGAAATAAGAGGAAACAAAAAACTGAAGGTTAGTTATGGCGGCGTCCATGCACAGCTGCTGCAAAGCGTCTATATTAAACGTTTTGGCACTGAACGTCATTAAACATCATGCCGAGCTCATTAGGCTTTATGTTAAGCCTCGTTATTTTCTCACTTTCCTTCGTAGATTCGAGCGAGTGGCACCTCCAACTGCTTTGTGGGGAGGTAGACACTCCACATTTCTTAAAGTGATGCATATAGACCTCTGCAGAGATTGTCTTCTGTGCGCTGCCATCTCTGTCTGCTAAGTTCTGGAACGCCTTCTGAGCATGCGCTGTAGCTCCGTTGTGCGGTATATCCGACGCTGCTCATGCGTCCACAGCTCAGTGACTCAGCATTTTTCGCCCGGGCGATAAGCGATGCAAAGGTCTATAGGGCTCAGCTTCGGGTACTGTGGTATGATAAGAATATTTTGTACACCCCTTCAATTAAAGATTAAACAGTACGGTTTCACGTGGTGCAACTGGAGGCGGAGCTCAAAAATAGAGCTAACAGAATGCAGTCACAATCCTCACGGGTTTGTAGGTTCAGTGACCGATGGTGTTTTCCACCCAAATCCCCAGGTGAAACTTCGTCGTCAACCTCTTAAAGTTTAGGTCAAGAAAATCAGTCACACTGTGCTCACCGAAACTCAGCCTAAAGTCCTCGTTAAAGGTCGTTCCAGTACGCATAATCTTGGGCGTGACGTCATGCAGACAGTACACTTCAGTAGAGGGCAGCCCCACCATGCCGAGCTGATAACTGGAAAGAAAACGGTGTACACGCGAGCTTTTATGGCTCAGCTTCCGAACGTGCTGCTTCTGCAGTTCCTTACCAGACCCGTAATCGAAAAATCTTGTGGAGTAAAGGTTGAATTTTTGTTGAGGTCACGTTGAGGACAGCTTAACCCGCTAAATTTAGCGGGGAAATTTTTCCGATAATTTTAAAGGGAAAAAACGTCGCATAATGCAACGCGTGCGATTACGCCGCGGCGGCGACGCCGCTCAAGCCGCTCAAGGTGCTGCGTCAGCGGAATCGTGTTCAGTCTAGAGTGCCTTCATACACACACGCGCTTTTGCTTGAGTGGTGACATCTCAGCCATTTTTCCTCCCAATCGTTTTTGTATGCATTTTGAAGTGCGGGCAATCCGGTGTCGCTCAGCTCGAGCGCGTAGCTTTGGCTAATAGATAGATGCCATTTTACCGCCCAAGTCACGCACCGAGTGCGCGAGAGCGTTACGCGCTGGCACATTCAGGGCAACAATGGATGTCTTCACCCTGAGACAGACAGACATGTAGGCACCCTAGTTCAGTCAGCGTAAACCCCCAAAAAGTGACGTAAAAAAAAGAAAAGGACAGCACTACGGCTTTTTTACGCTGTACGTGTGGAGTATATAGAGTCGCAGGTATTTCTGGATAGCACTCTCAAAAGTTACTCAGACTGTATTCTACGCTGCTCCCCAATGCACTGGATATACATCAGTAGCTCCGATAATTCTTTGATCAATCGAGCAAACGGAAAAGGCAAGCGGTCTCATGTTCCAACGGTCATTCGGCAAAAAGACATCTACCCCGTTTGCCACTTAAACCACGCGGCGATAGGGGCGGGATATTGTTCGCTCTTCGATCAATAGGGTGTATACAACTGGCGGCCATATCCGTGTGCGCTGCTGCTGAGCGCGTGCTGACGGCGAGCTTGCGCAGTCCTTTTAGAGCGTGCATTTAGCACCATCAAGACTGCCGGTCTTAGCAGAATATGGCGTCCAGTGAATACCTTCTATAGTAGTAGTGGCACTCGAGCTCAAGCACTGCGATTATACCTTTCCGTGACTCCATGGATCCTGACCTCCCGCAAGTACAACAAGAGGCCGCTCTGGAAACGAAGGAAATATGCATTTTTCGTTTATTACAATTATAGTAACACCTTAAATATTTCAAAATGTTTCAAATAATTCTGAAATATATATAATCATCTTACACACACGCAAAAAAAGGAAACGAGAAAGAGAAAACACAACAGACATCACATCGAATTATCGTTCATCCCACCTTGGTGTGACCCATCATTTCGCCGAGTGTCTCCACAGGGAACCGGAGATTTTCTGCAACGAACAATAAACAATTTTTTTTTTTTTTCACAATTCAGCGTTAGCTCCAGTGAACCTTACCTGCCTTTAAGATGACCTACGAAGAAATTTTGTCAGCTACGTGTCACATTTAAGGAAAGGAAAAGTGGAGCCCGGAATACAAACAAACCTCGGGAATTTATTAGAAGTACAAATAAACCGGCGCGAGCATAACGGAGAGCGCAGACCCGCCAACTTCTTGCACCCGGTATTTGACACATCTTTCATTGTTTTTTTCTTTTCGTTCTTTTTTTTTTTTTTTGTCTATTAAATTATTTAAGCTCCGTCGTGAAGATTATAGACCTTTCCAATAATAGCCTTCTGGTCGCCATCGAGCAGAGCATCAAAAGTGGTTCCGATGTGGCAACAAATAACGTCACGCAAGCCGGAGTGTCGTGCTGTCGGATGTCGCGATCCTGACGGTTGGGCGCAGAAATGCTGACGAAGATCGTGAGCGAACGCGAGTGGCGCTGTCGTCGCGGCGTCCCAACTTCTGACTGCCGATCTTCCGTGGACTGTCACACAGGAAAGCGACCTGCGGCAGGACAGGCGTCCGCCATATTCGCCACCGTTGCTGGGACACCGTTAGGATCGCGACCGGCGACAGCGTTACACTTCTATGACGTCACCAAGCAGAAATCGAGGGACCACCTTTTTGGACGCAGTAAACACACCAGTCGGAGACGTATTCCAGGCACCATACTTAAAGGAACCATGAAATGAATTTTCGGCTGGGGTAAATTGGGATTTTACCAATCGTTTAGTGCACGAGCGTAGAAAGCCTAAAGTCCGCTTTTCGGTACGAAAATTCGAAAATATAGCGCACTATTTAGTACCTATACTTTCCCTCGAAAGCTCTCCGCCTTTTTACTGTGATACATCCACGGTGGCCAAGCACGTCAGCCGAATTCAGCTCACACCCTGGTAACGAGCATATCTGCCAGAGCATCACCGACTTTGTCGGCGTCGCTTGCTTCGGTTACTAAATAAATGACACGTCCAACAAATGAACGACACGTTCCGAGCGCGTCACTCGGACGTATGCGCTCGTCAACAATCAATCCGTCGATGAATATTTGAATTCGCGCCCGTGGCCGAAAGCTGCCGTGACAGCATTTATCACTTACGAATGACAAGTTCTATGGTGTGCTTAAAAAGCACGGTGGAAGCTTGGAGTCATCGCATCCGGTGCCCAAACACGTCACGACGCATGCGTGACGCCGCCATAACTTTAGTGCACAGGAGCTAGACGGCCGTGCATGCGAGGGCTCGTGCCGTCTTGTGCACCACACGCGCAGAGTTCCAGCGGAGCTGTCGCACGAGCAGAAAAACTAAAGTTCCTTCGATGCATTGCGAATGTAATGGCGTAGTCAAACTGGCTAAAGATCAGTCTATTCTGAGTTTGCAGCTGACTGCGAATATTTGACAAGATAGGGAGTGTGCTCGACCGCTGAGCGCGTGCCGACGGCGATCTTGCACAGTTCTTTTGCATTGTGCAGTCTGCACTATCAAGATGGCCGTTGTCAGCAGCCTATTAATGTAAGCTCGTTCTGAGCATGCGCTCTATACATCGCCCTCAAATATGGCCTCCAGTGAATACTGCCCACAGTAGGATAGTGGCTGTCACAGAGCTGCAGTTATGCGCCCGATAAACTCCCGTGACGACACGATGCGAAAGTGAGGACCGACGACAAAAATAATTAGGGTGTAGCGCTCTAAAGCTGCTTACAACTTTGAGATTTGATTTGGTTGAAATATATGATTAGGACTATATTGCTGTTGTAGCCGAAGGTGGAACAAAATTAAAGCATGTTGCAATTAAAACGCCGAGGTACTCTCTCGCGCTGCAGAACCGAGGGATCTTAGGTGGAATCTCTACCCCTGCTCGTTTCGATCTGGGAGCCGAATCTGGACACTTGGCGAAAAAGTCGGCAAGAAATGTGGCAGGTGTGATTGGTCAATGCCGCACTGGACCTTGGCGCCGGACAATCATAAGCCGCGAGATTTCTCGCCGACTTCTTTCGCCAAATGTCCAGATTAGGGCCCCTGGATGAGCATCGTACCGGCGTGCGGTCATGTATCACCACTGCGTGGCGCACGTTAAAGATTCCACACGCCCGTTTAGGACTAACTTAGTTCCTTCCCTACAAAAACACACACAGTATTACGACACACAGATACAAAATGGCACAATTACTCCCGTCTTCATACTGGCCGCCTATTTCGACAATTAACTCCCAACAGATGTGGCGAACGGCTTCGTCTGCAAGGTTACGCTTCCGTATAGGTAACTCTAAACAAGGCCCCTTTTGAGAGTGAAGTGATGGCTAAAAATCGTATTCAGTAAAAAAAAAAGTCAACGTTTGAAACTGTTTGGGACGTGTCTCTTTGAAGTTTAATACCACGGTCACCTTGCTAACACATATCACACAAAAGACTGGCTGAGGGGAGTTTATTAATCAAATGACCGTTCAGGCACGTTGGTCATACAAAAAACTGTCTTTAGATATGTTCGAAACATACGTAAGCATGAAGCAAACATTCTTAGAGCATGTTTGAGGCGAACACCCTGTCTTTTGTACGATGTATAACCGGTGTGACGCCGGCTTAGAAAAAATATAAAGAAATAAAAGGAGGTTGTTGGTGACGGCACCTTGTCTTTTGATCCGTAGTCCCCAGAGGAAGAGCTCTCGCTGCTGGAGGCCCTCGACTTGGAGGGAGCCCGTGCAGTACACGGTCTGCATGTAGCAGTCCACTTCGTCCAGCAGCCTGGGGAGCGGGAGGGGCCGTCAGAGGGACTGACTATGGACTAGTGTGAGTAGAAACAATTACGCAAACTCGATCATGCTGAGAACAGGGGTGTAAAAATGGGAACAGATCGAACGCGGCAAGTCCTGGGCACTGGCATATCGGAGGTCCCGAGAGAAAGAACGAGAAAGAGAGCGACGGAAAAGCGGAGAAAGAAAGCAGACGAAAGGTTACGTAGGCGTGTTCGTTTTGCGCCACGAGTTGAAGTTGTTCCAGCTTGTCAACTTTATTTCTGGTTATGCAATGCGCGATTCCGGTGTTTTCAAAGCAAGCTAGGAAAGAACAAGGTACGGACCTTACGGGTGATGTCTTGCTGCTTCTTTGCGCATATTAGGGCGTCGCCACTCCATGCAGCGATACGCGTCCATTGGGACCGCGCCAACTGTTGCCGCCGATGTCCGCGTCTATGAGCCTCCGTTCCCAAGCGGCCCCAATGCATGCGACCTTGCCCTTTAGGTTATTATATGAACTAGATGGCTGGCAAAGACCGGCGGGGAGAGCCGGATCTGCTGAGCACAATTGACGCCAGGTGACGTTAATTTCTCCGCTCAATTTAGCGGTAAAATGGAACTGGCGTTTAGGTAGCGTGACCAATTACCTCGCTAAATTTTGCCGGGAAACTGAATTGGCACACAAGTCACGTGGTCAGACGAACGACGCTCATCTTCCCTGGCCGTCTACAACCAACCATATGACGTCTACTACTATCGTTATGGGTACAGTTCGGCGCACGGGCAGTGTAGCCCAAAGATACAGTCGGAGGTGATTCCGAGGTACCACATATAGTTAAAACTTTAAAAAAAAATGCAGCTGATAAAAAGAAAATTACAGAGCCTGCTAATTTGTCTTTATACGTTTGGCCTTACCTGTTGACGTTCGGAACACCGACCTCGGCCCAGCTTTGTCGAGCCAGTTGGCGGGCCACGAAGTTGGCGTCGAAGTCGGCGCTGTGCTCCAAGAGGTTCGACGTCGTGTTGCAACTGGTCATGCGATGACGTCAACGTGTCAACGTTTGTTTACCATCTTTATGTAGAAAAACGGTAACATATCTCGCACATAGCACCAGAAATTTGGAACATTTATTCGTGCAAACCATAATGATCTGTTTTGTTTTCCTTATTTTAAACAGTGTTTGTGCGCAATGTACGTACAGTAGCAAGCGCCTTTTGGCCTTTAAATGCATAATTTCTGGGGACGATAAGCTCGTCAAGCTCATTTTCCAGTTCCCCCCCCCCCCCCTTCGCTTTGATGGAAAATAAAGATATTATTATTATTATTATTATTATTATTAATGAACTATCATCACGTTTATCAGGGCACGTGCTTTCAAATGTGTCGCAGATGTGGCTGCCCCGGTGCAGCTGGTCTGATGCATGTTGAACAAAGACCTTTTGCAAAACCCCATCAAGCAAGATTGGCGGCCGCCATTCTTTTTTAGCACGAAGCGTGTGATTGGATGCGAGTTCTCGCCACACGCTGAAGGACCTATCACTACTGTCCAATACATGCTCAGACTGGGCTACCCAAACAGTGGCGGACTCAGAGAATCGACGCAGCAGCTCCTAGATGGAGCGCACTCACATTGCCACCTGAGCTCCGTCTGACCTCAGGACAGCACATCTGTTGACTTTCAACACACGTGTGTTGAAAGTCGAATAGTGCTGTCCGTGTTCTTTCCTTCTATGCGTAAAGTAAGCTTTTATTAAATACCAACCCTCTCACTTCAAAACAGTCATTTCTAAGTGCCTGCATTGAAAACGTATGTTACAACACCTACCGCACTTTCACCCCCCCCCCCCCCCCCTCACCAAAAAAAAAAAAAAGCGCTATATTTAGGTTTATTTTGAGTCTCGCGACGTGCTACTAATTCGGGCTCGCCCCTCACTCAAAATGAGACTCATGACGTAAACGTTACGCTCGTTTGATTTTCGGGAATTTTGAGACGTACATACATCCAGGAACTTAATAAAATATTCCTTTGGGGGAGCTCGCTGTGTCTAAGAGAGGTTCTGGAACGTGATTCTCTTTTAAATCGACGTGCCGAAATTTCAAATTCGCTCTGATTAAAATGTGTCTTGCGATATAAATATCGAACTAGTTTTATTTTTTCGGGAAGAGTTCATAAAGTTCAAGTTATAACATGCGTGTCCTATCTAAATACTTAACAATTATAGTAGCATTATAAATTTTAAAAAAAGGACCAAATCGTACTTACATTACTCCCAACTGTACGTGTACCAACAAGCCGCCTTGAGTTGTGCACCTGCGAGAGGGGGAGAAAAATTTTTCTTCGAATAGGCGGCTAGAATGAGCCATCGAAAGTGCCACGAAATCGTGCACTCGTGCTTCTTTCAGAAACGAGAAAAATTTGCCTGGCCAAGATGATGTATCCATTGCGTGACCAATGCAGTGCGTGTGTTCCCTCGACTTTTTTTTTTTTCCAGTTTGTATGCCTTACTCTGCTGTTCTTTCTAGTTCTTCTTCTCTCCCTTTCTCTCTCTAATTAACGTGAACAAAAGAAAGACAAATACAATGAGAGCAGTATGAAAACTGCGTTCCTTTTATCTGTCATATTTTATTATCGCTCTTTCGATTGAGAGCTCTTGTACAGAAGATCGGCGAAGGTGTGCCAAGTTTGGAGAATAAATTTCAGCTTCATGATTAGAGGCCGTTGCTCCCCGGGAAAAATATTTACGGCGATTTTTATCTTAAAAGTTCCAAAATGCATGGAATGCAGGATTTGAGGAGCGATCGCTTAAATTTGCTTAGAGCACAGTATACACTCGTTTCGAAGAGTGAAGGACATATCTATTAATGGTTTACCTACTAAAGGTCACGCGAGTCACGATATCACGTGACACCGGAACTGGACACCATGACGTCACGGGGGGGCGTGACCTGGCGTCCCATAGCGTCAGGTCACGTGATGACGCAACGTGACGTCGATTTCCCTCTAAAAGTTTGCGGGGAAACGCACGGATGGCAGACGGGAAACTTTTTTGCATTAGGTAGTTTCGCTAAAAACATTTCAAATCTTAGAAAAAAAAGGCTGCGTTGAACGCGTTTTTCTGACAGGTATCTCCGTCCGTATAATCACGTGCGTATGCCTCTAAAGTGCAAAGTTCACAACAATATTGGCGCCGTCGCAAGCTGAGGTCTCTATCAGCGACGAGCACGTGCGACGCGACCGCATTTACGTGGCGGCGCTTCCTACACTTCATCGGCCGAATGCATCCCTCGTCGAGTGGTCAAAAGTGGGCCGCGACCTTCTGGTCATCAGAAGATCTCCGGGGTGGGAGCGAAATAAACGCGGCACAAGACGAAATTCCTATGCGGAGCGCAAGTCACGATATCACGTGACACCGGAACTGGACACCTTCTTGCGCAGGGCGTTTCGGTGACGTCAGACCACCGAGCTCTGATTGGCTCTGATTGCCTGGGCAGACCTCAAGGCAGCTAACATTAAAGTCTATACCCTCTATCCTTCCAGTCGGAGCCAATCAAAGCTCGCCGTTCTGACGTCACTGCAACTCCTGCGCAACAAGCAGACGAACTTGCCCTCCGCCTTGACTTCCTTCCAGATGAGCGTTCGGGGTCACCCGAAAAGTATAATACATAAATATATGTTGCAGATTTAGGCCACAACATATTGGCAAGTTGTAACTTCAGCAAAAGTATTAGGAAAAAGAAACTATAGACATATCCAATTCTTAGAAGTTTTTAAGTGAATACGCTCTAAAAAAAATCAGTGCGTCTAGATTCACGCATATTACTTGAGAACTGCAATTGCTGGAGCTCGAAGAATGACGCAATTGAAGATATGTTTAGATCCTACATCGTGCTCAGTGTCACCGCGCAGATCACATGTTCACTTCTAAACATGATTTCAGCCCCGTCCTTCGCCGAGTCCCCTTCTGTAGATTGCATTGATTGGCGTCCCGAGTGTTTTGCGGGGAAGTAAACGAACCGGAGTTGGAGCACCAATACGCGGTCTTCCTTTTATAGTAAGTTATCGGAAGGGCAATCAATATCATGCACCGAAAAACGCGGCCTCGATAGCTAAACTGATTAGCATGACACCAGTGACCGGCAGCTTGAGTGCATTGCGGTGAAGTATACATGAGATCTAGTTTAATTGTGCGAGTCTGCGGGAGCCATAGCGCATCCTTAGGAAAGCGTTAGGATATGCGTAGGAATGTCGCTATGCCTAGTCCTCCGAAAAAGAAAAAAAAGAATCAATTGAAAAAAGATGTTTAGTGCAAGCACTGCGAAAATGTTACTGGTCACTTTTATAACCTCGTTTCTTTCGTAAATTGCACAGGGATACATTTCAAGCGTAAACACGTAAGCGCGTTTACTTTTTTTTTTTTTTTACGGCACACTGTACAAGGTTGATTTGGGTCTTTTTTTTTTTTTTTAGACTTCTAGAAAATATACGCGTGCAAGCAACGTCTTTCAGAGGATGCTTAAGCAAGATATAAATGCTGTAGCTAAATATAAATTTATGAAGCTCCCGCAAACAATTCGGGAGGTAGCATCTCAGCGACCGGAAAACAGGGGCGGATTCAACGGAGGGGGGGTGGGGGAGCGACGAGGGCGGCCGCGTTCCCTCAAACAAAGTTGACCCCCCCCCCCCCCTCCCCCCTTCTCGGAGGACAATTTGATATGGGTCGACACCCGGTGCACAAGAAAGGATGGGAGAATAGTATCCTTACAAATTTTCCGCCCCCCCCCCCTCCCCTCCCCCAAAATGGAGTTCTGGATCCGCTCTTGCCGGAAAGTGCACACTGAGAATCTTGCTGCCATGGTACAGGACTGCGAACAACATAGCGTACTAAGCACGCGCGCTCACCTGAGCAGGCCGTTGTAGGCCACCCTCCACCTGCGCATGGGCACGAGCTGCTCGAGACGCAAGCCCCCCGCAGCGTACATGGTCCCGGCGGACAGGTCAGGGATGCCGACGCCGCTGTCGAGGACGTAGCTCTGTCCTTCGGCCGTGCGCAGGTACAGCCAGGGCTCGGCGGTGCGGCTGCGCCCGCGGCGTCGTATTCGGGCCACCATCACGTCTCCCTTCTCGTTGCTGCCCCACAGCAGGAGGTCGTCCGACCGGGAACATCGCGTCGAATCTTCAGGGTGCTCCTGGAAGGGCCCATGGCGTCGTGAGGCGGACGCCGTTGCATCGGAGTGTGACCGAGTGCCTTTCCACTGCTTACGACGAAACAGCGATGATGACGATGATGACGACGATGAGGACGATGATGAGACTACGACGACGACGACGACGACGACGACGACGGCCGCGATGATGATGATGGTTGTTATGATTATTATGATGATTATATTGGGGCTGTTTCCCTTTAGAACGTGCGGTCTAGACAGACTTCGTGTTCAAGCCTGGGACCCTGCAACTCATAATGGCCCCTGCGGTGAACCTATTTTCGCACCAGTCCTCAAGTATTTTTTGTGGCCTCTACAGTATAGTCTTTGCAGACCGCTGGAGGTCACCTTCATCTTCGTGGCAGGGCTGCCTGCCTGTTTCCCACAGTGGCCCCACTGGCTGACTGGCACAATCAGGTATGCCTTGTGACACTTTCAATGTGCATAGGTAAGTATAGACTGAAGATTTTGAAGCATTTGCGAGATGAAATTTACGCACTCTCTATGAGAAATTGTCGGTTATAACATTGTCAGAGTCACTTAATTCAAGCCCACCGTAAAATAATGACGGGTGAAATATTAGGAAATATAAGCATATCGCAAGCACTCCAGGGAATCCTTGAACATACATGGCGCAAGTTTGTTCTCGCGTCGTAAATGGTCATGAGCGGTTTTTAAAGGGATGCTGAACCGAAATCTGGATTCCACAAAACACGCGGCAAAAGCGTGCAGCCTGATGATACAAACAGCGAAACATCACTCATACAGCCATATCTCGAACGGATGACCGTATTTTTCAAGAAAAGGAGGCGCATTTGACAGAAATGTTCACGTCATGTTTCTCCGAGAAGGAGAGGGAACAGCCTCGCGTCTTCTCCGCGTCGCCGCCTAGAGGGAGCGAAGCGAAGAGAGGAGGAAACAAGGTATCTTCACGTCACGCGCCTCGTCGGCCTGGTTAAATCTCAACCTCGTTTTCCAAAAATACGGCCGTCGCTTCAAGATATCGCCTTACGAGCAGTGTTGTAGAGATTGTGGCGTCCCGCCTACAGCTCCTGCATTATTTTTTCTGAAATCCAAATTTCGGTCACACTCGGCCGCATTTAAAAGTAAGTGTGTGAATCAGCCTTTATTGCCCCTATTTTGCATAGGACGAGATCAAATACGAGCACCACATGCGTCAGATAGAAGCCTCCGGCTGTAGACTGCAGAGCGATGCACTCGACACCTCTATCGTTAGCCTTTCTTTGACAGTCAAGATTAAAGTCAAGTCAATCAGCAAGGTGCCTCAGCGACGTCCGAGTGTCAAAAGGAATGAGCTCCTTCTTGTAGATGACAGTGTTTCGTTGTCCCTGGTGCGCCACACCGCTAGCCCATGCTTGGTGGACTATAGAGGTCTTTTGAGTGTAGTTCAAAATGAAAGACCTTTGGGGTGTTCTCTGGGGCCCCCATTTTTAGACCGTTAGCTTTCCTTGTGCTTAAACACCGGCGTCGCTGGACACGAGGGGGCAAACACTTCGCTGATATTCTATAGAAGAGAGCAATTGCGCCTGCTCAGAAGGTATTCTACAGCCCCATTGACCAAGACGGCAGAGTGCACAAGGTGATTATTGGAACTGTGTATACGCCCAACTTTGCTGGTCGATGAAACAAACAATGTTGCCAGCTTTGTACAGGGATATGTGGACGACAAAAAACAACAGTAAAAGCCCTTGTGGAGTCTTCCATACCTGAACGCCATCGAGCGCGGACTCCTGGGGAGGCGGCAGCACGCCGTAGCTGTACGGGTCGTAGTCCTCGTACGAGTAGAACTGGAAGCGGCCTCGCCGGCGGCACCGGGCCACCGGGAGCCTGAGCAGCGCCCACTTGAGCCAGAACGAGGCACCTAAGTGCAAAGAAACAAGAAACCTAACTTGAAATAATTTCAACACTTTCGTTCCCACTCTCTAAATAAATAAAAAAAATCGCATGTCTCCGTCATATCTGATAAACTCGCGGATGCACAATATGCTATGTCTGTGTGACGTCACCTGATGCCATGGTGTCACGTGGCACCATGACATTTCTTGAACCCTATGGGCATTATGTGTAAAATGTAAGACTGGAATCTGACACTGGGGTTAGACGTAATGGTATCCTCGTGGAACTTGAGCGTATAAACACCATTCTGTGTTAAAAACAATATCTCGCGCTGGGGTGAGATCAGTTCATAAAGATCGTCATCCGCATATCACACTGCTCGTACATTATGTGAAATGTTCTACTGCACCACCGGAGAAGTTACCCTCTTTACGCATCGGCATCTCCAACCTCGCGCGTAGTTATTTTCCCTTCCTTTATTTCACATTTCGGCCGCGGGGCCTAGCCAGTTTTTGTCTGCACAATCCTCTTTTTCGCGTCATCTTCGCTTAGTGGCTTTCAGGTTCCGAACACCTCAATTAATAGACAATATGGTCTTCACTTTCCTAAAAGGCAGTTAAACGTCTTCTAAACAGGTTTAAACAATCGCTCCTTAAAGGCCTGTTTCCGCATACCTACCATAGCGCTACTTCAGCGCGATTAAGTTGGCGCTAGAAATAGCGCTGCCCTTGCAGATGCAGCGTGGACTACGCGCTATAATATTGATACAGCGGTTAATCAGCACTAAGTTACGTTCAAGTCACCGCTGTTTCAGCGCGTATCCATTTAGCGACGCGATGTATGCATGAACAGGCCGTAAATTCTACATTACATGGATTGTATAGAACATTAGGTATAAAAGTACCTGCCTTTTTTTTCAGGATTTTTGAAATACAATAAATGAAATCGTACGTCTGTTTTCTTGTGGCTTTTATCACTAGTATCTTATTTGTAGAGTCCTGCGCGGATAAAAGTTTGGGCATCCGCACCCGAACCGCATCCCCAACGTTGAAACATCCAACGTTGAAACACGCGAGGTCAGCGCTACGCTTGTAGCGCTCCGCTACAGCGCTACGCTTGTAGCGGAGCGCTACAAGCGTAGCGCTGACCTCGCGCTAAGCGCGTGCTGACGGGAGCGTTCATCAGCTTTGTATCGCACCGTCAATACTGTTGTTCATGCCAGACAATAAGTAGCGGACGACACGTGAGAAGCGCTACATTAGCGCTTCGCTGCCCGTGTGAACCGGCCATTATACTTTGTATCTGCATTTGAACCGCCTCCAAAAATTTTAGAGCCACATCCGACTCGCAATCCGCGCATTCATTTTACGTTATAAGATCAAGTGTAAATAAAAAAGGCATCTGGATGGTATCTTAATAAACCGTTTGCTTATCTTTGGACAACAACAAAAAATACAGAACTCATCGAGTCAGAATATAGTGAAACTCATTTTATTGTATTCAGTTTTATGGTGTCGATATTGTAAGCTGTCCTTTTTCCAGAGGCACTTAAAGCTGCAGGAAAAATTATTGCAGTTATGAGATCGAGTTGAGAGTCTGCGACGCTCTGCCCAGGATATGCCCTCAAAAGACAGAAAATTTAAGCAGACGCATTTTAAGCAGACGCGTATTTTATAAACATAAAAATTAACAGAAAACAGACTAATGGTGTTGTGTCATTTCATTTAGGGGGGATCGGTGGCCGAGTGGGTTAAAGCGCACACCCAGCTCGACGCGCGTGGAGCGAAAGCTCGCGCTGCAGAACCCAGGGATCTTGGGTTCGAGCCCCACCCCTGCCCGTTTCGATCTGGATGAGCATCGTACCGGCGTGCGGTCGTGTATCACTACTGCGTGGTGCACGTTAAAGACCCCAGGCTAGCGGTTGTACCGCACTGGCTAAATTGCTCATCTACAGCGTGTGACTCGTCGCAACTTTAATGGCTGACCAACTACACGCTGTATAAATATCCCCACAACCCCCAATTAATTGTCATTTCATTTAGGTCACACAATAAAAAAAAGAAAAAACGTTTACTTGCATTTCTCTGTAATGCCGAAAAGAGCGCAGCTTTTGAGGAGGAGGAGGGGAGGGTAGGCCCCTCCTACCCCCCCTCCGTACCCTCCCCTCCTCCTCTCTTGCTACCCTCCCATTTAGTGTGAAACTTTCGCTAAATTTACCACTAAATTTAGTGAAAATTTCCCCGCTATATTTAGCGGGGAGATTTTACCGCTAAATTTAACGGGGAGATTTTTCCGCTAAATTTAAGGAGAAAATTTCCCGTTATATGCAGCGGAGAAATTTTCCCGCTAAATTTAGCGGCGAAAACTTCCTGCTAAATGCAGCGGGGAAATTTTTCCACTAAATTTAGCGAGGAAATATTTCACCAAACTCAGCGGGAAGCTTTTTCCGCTAAATTTTGCCGGGAAAACTTCCCAATAATTGCAGCGGAGAAATTTTACCGCTAAATTTAGCAGGGACATTTTTTCGCTAAACTTAGCCGGGAAAATTTCCCGTTAAATGGGTCGGGGAAATGTTTCCGCTAAATTTAGCGGGGAAATTGTTCCGCTAAATTTATCGGGGAAATTTTCTCGCTAAATTTAGTAGTAAAATTTTCCCATAATGCAACGCCTGGTTACGCCCGCTTGCATTATTCCCATTATGCAACGCGCGCGGTTACGCCGACGGCAACGCCGCTGAAGCCGGAAACGGGCGCCTGAGAGCTGCGCTCTAAAGGTAAGAAGGGAAAATCGGTCACACACCGCAGACAAGTATTCGTATAATAGGGAGTTTTCGTAGACCGCGCTGCCTCCTCCGCTAAGCGTTCCGCAACGAAGAAGTTGCTACTGCGCTTGCGTGCCGATAGCCTTGACTGTGGAGTTCCCGCTATCGTAGCGGGTTGCGGAGGGCCTTGCGGGGCGGCGAAAACGATCTACGAAAACTCCCTAATATACGTGGTTTGACGAGAGTATACCATTTGAAAAATTTTTAAATGTTCAATAATGACAACACCTATCGGTTTCGGTTTTAAACATGAACCCGAAACTGCGGCAGGTTTCCGACTGTCGAGAAAAAAAAGAAACAAAAAAGCGCAAACACGCCACGTTTTACCTGTCGGGGTTGCTGTGTAGAAACAATAGCGGAGAAACTTTTCCGCTAGATTTAGCGGGGAAATTTTTCCGCTAGATTAAGCGGGGAAATTTTCACGCTAGAATTAGCGGGGAAATTTTTCCGCTAGATTTAGCGGGGAAAATTTTCCGCTAGTTCTAGCGGAGAAATTTTTACGCTGAATTTAGCGGGGAAATTTTTCCGCTAGATTAAGCGGGGATATTTTCTCGCTAGATTTAGCGGGAAATTTTTCCGCTAGAGTTATCGGGGAAACTTTTCCGCTAGAGTTAGCGGGGAACTTTTCCCGCTAGATTTAGCGGGGGAATTTTTCCGTTAGTTCTAGCAGAGAAATTTTTCCGCTAAATTTAGCGGGGAAATTTTTCCGCTAGATTAAGCGGGGAAATTTTCCTGCTAGATTCAGGGGGGAATTTTTCCGCTAGATTTACCGGGGAAACTTTTCCGCTAGTTCTAGCGGAGAAATTTTTCCGCTAGATTTAGCGGGCAGATTTTCCGCTAGATTTAGCGGGGAAATTTTTTCGCTAGATTTGGCAGGGAAATTTTTCCGCTAGGTTCAGTGGGGAAATTTTTCTGCTAGATTTATCGGGAAATTTTTCCTCTGGATTTAGCGGGGAAATTGTTCCGCTAGATTTAGCGGGGAAATTTTCCGCTAGATTTGGTGGGGAAATTTTTCCGCTAAATTTAGCGGGAAACTTTTTCCGCTAGATTTAGTGGGGAAATTTTTCCGCTAGATTTAGCGGGGAAATTTTTCTGCTAAATTTTGTAGGGAAATGTTTCCGCTAGATTTAGCGGGGAAATTTACCCATAATGCACCGCGCGGTTACGCCGACGGCGACGGCGACGGCGACGCCGCTGAAGCCGAAAACGGGCGCCTAAGAGCCGCACTCTAAAAAAAGCTATTAAAATGTAGAAGCGATTGGCCGTCCTCATCAAGCTGTGGGAAATTTTGCGGATGTTAAAGGGACCATGAAATGACCTTTTTACTTTTTCCAGATAACTTTTACATTAAACCGTCAATGTTCACTGAATGCCGAACAGGCATCCGTTTTCGTCTCGGTTTATTAACTTTTACACAAAAAATTATTGAAATATCGACTTTTTCATTCTCTCCAACTGACCGCAAAAGAAGCCGTGACGTAGACCGTTTCCGGAACCGGAAGTTCTCTCGGCAGTAGGAGAATGGGAGTGTTAGCGGCAACGAGTTGGGGTGCGCCGGTAGGTTTTACTGCGCTGATGTCACCGACGTATTTCCTGAATCGGCGCCTCTCATCGCCGCATCGCAGCTGAGCGAAATTCAATGAGATACGTTGCGCTACAGCGACAGCATGGGACTAGTCCCATACGCCGGTATGCCTGTTGGGAAGTGCAGCGAGTCTTGTCAACCACCCCGTCATCGTTGGCAGAAGGGCCGGCCCGTGTCAGTCGTTTGCAAAGCGACGTAGATGGCGTTTTTCGCGGCCTCGGAGATGCAGGAGCGAGCCGACGTTAAAAAAGATACGTTTGAACTACGAGTGTCAGCAAGAGCCACGTAAATACCTGTTTACACTCGGAGCGGACGCGCGCGCTTGATGGAAGTCTTGTATTCGCGCTGTTGGTAAGCGCTTCGGGACCGTTCTTTTACGATTGCAACTCGATACTGACGCGACACTCGGCAAAGAAAGGTTGGACCGGGGTCGACAGTGACGTGCAGTCTGTCAGAATAAAAATGGCATACCAATAACAAAGTGTACATACCGTGTTACGAAGGTAATCCATACGGCGTTTATTTCGGCTCTATATCACACAAAACAAGAAGATAGAATCGACGATAGTCCCTTTTCGACGAGTGTTCGTCAACACTGCCTCGGAAAACAAGGGGAAGA